AATTGATTACTCTAGTCTGAGATTTGGCAAGGCAGGAATTATGCTGAGTCAATGTGACTAAACATCTGAACTTCCTCAGTCACCTCTGGGTAGGCACCGACTGCTCCAGCAAACAAGTAGAAATCTAATCATAAAGCCATTAGGGGTTTCTTTCTTTACTGTCACACACTGCGTGGACTTACCATTTCTATGTTAAGCAGCAGAAATAAACAAAAACCCAAAACTGCTTTCCCAGAGTATTGAAAACTATGGCCAAGTAGCTTAGGAGAGAGGGGCTGGGACCTGAGTGGTGTCCCTCAGAGACACACATAATGCTGGAGCCAGAATCTCACCCTGACCTGCTGTTTTTAGAAAATCCACAGATACTCGACATGTCATGCTTAAGAAAATCAACCCATGTTACTATTCACTTAAAAAATGTCTGGCTTGCTGACTCCCAGATCCCAGATCAAAGTAAGGGCTTGAATTCTACAAAAACATCCTTCTAGGCACACCTCCCAGGGAGGAACCCTTTGTGTGTGAGCACTCTGGGTTGTCCAGACGTGAAAATTCCAGCCCTGCTGCAATTCCTATTACTGAACTGAAATGGCTGGATGCATGCAAGAAGGCGCAGTGCTAAAAAATTCCTGAGACATGAATCCAAAAGCCAGAGGAGCAAGCACGTAAGGTGCTCAGAAGAGCTACCCGGCTGTGTAGGGATAAGGAAGCCTGAAGGGAGACTGGGACCCTCCCCATGCGATCAAAAGTGGAATGACAAGAAAAGTCAGACCAACAAGTAATGTTGCAACATGAGCCCTGTTCCACTGACCTCCTGACTCTCGGTGCCATCAGCTTTGCCAGCGACGTGCTGTCCTGGTTGAGGTCTAGCTGTAAGGTACAATCAGCTTCCTGAGAACAAATTCAGGGATGATGATCCAGTTCAAACTGAACGTCCAGCAGGGTTCAAGGGAGACACGGCCTGATGTACTCTATTCTCTAGAGCTGACCTAACTTTCAAGACTGTGAAGGCACCAGTCAAGTGGGTCTCTCCCGTCATCTCTCCATCCTGTTCTCCTCCCCAAAGCCAGTTTTCCTTCCCAGTCATTTCACTACAATTAGCACACAAACAGGCTGTGGCCCCATGTCCCCTTCCAGAAGGTTAACTCTTTTCTTCTCCCGTTTTCGGTAAGCATCTCTGAAATAATTGCCTGTTCTCCCTTGGAACTTGCTGCTGGAGTTTTTCTCCCAACAATACTCTGCTCACAGGTGACCTTGCTCTGGCAGAGGCACTTATTGTCCTCCCCCCACCCCCACCCCCGGACTGGGAAACAAATCCAGGGGCACTTTACCACTGAGCTACACCCACAGCTTGTTGTTGTTGTTTTATTTTGAAACAGGATCTTACCAAGTTGCTGAAGCTGGCCTCAAACTCACAGTGCTCCCTGGCAGAGGCACTCCAGAGGCTCCATTCTAGACCCTTCTCTAAGTTTGGAATGAGACCTCAGATCTGGGTGGGCCAGTTGCCTTCTCCTCCTCAGGACCTCTGCTGCCTTCAGGGATTATACTGGACTGACATCACCTGGAAGATCATGAAACAGGCCGTCCCAGGCCCTACCAAGACCACCTCAATCAGAATCTGCATTTTGGCACGGTGATCCCAGGTGATTCAGAGGTGCTACTCCAAATCCTTGAAAACTGAGTTTCAGTATCAGAAAACCCATTTTCCCTCAGACATAAGTTGCATCCTCTAATAGCAGTTTTATCACTAATAAAGGTGATATATTGGTCTCCAATTGGCCTTATCTCACTTGGTTCTGAAACTGGGAAATAGTGATAAGATTGGCTCCCCCAAACTTCCTCCACCATCCTGTTGCTGAAACCTGTGGTTCGCTGCTTCAGTTTAACGGCTGCACTGGACACAGTGATGGCATCCTGCATCTTCCAACACTTAGTGGCCACCTGTGGGAGACCAATCTTGCACTTGACTGAGTCACACTCCACAAATGTGGCAGAGCTTTCCCCACCCTTCTTGGGTTCGAGGGTCGGTGTCTTGTGCATGGGTGTGTCTTGCTATAGCCCCATGAGTGGAGCTACGCTCACCTGTTCCTTTGTAATATAACTCCTTGCCCTGTTTAGGATAGAATCTTCCATGGAAGGGCCTTGTGTATGTCCCCTTCTCTTACTGTGTCCTTGGGTGTGGCCTACCCAGGTGTCAGTCAGTCTGCTGACAGTGGACATCATGAAGATAGACTCAGCCCCTGAAACCTGACCCCTGGCCTCATTTGAACAGCTTCTTCTCAATAAAAGGGGTCAGCGCGTGCTCTCGCTCTCTCTTCCTATGGACCTTTAAGGTCAGAGGAGCTGTCACAGCAAAAAAGGTATTTGTGTCTCTTGTGTGGTTATTTTGCACAGCCCAATTAGCCCAGTTCAACTGGAGTGACCCCTGAGCCTTTTAGTCTGAGAACAGAAACCCGGCATCCACCTGTCACTCTTCATGGCCAYGCCTCTTCCTCTTTGCTGGACCAGTCTTCTCTCCCTGACTTCTACACGCTGGAGTGCTCTGGACTCTCCCCAGGTCTCCAGCCTCTGCCTTCCTTCGTCCAAGACCCTCTTTGAATACCACCAGTTTACTCAACTGTCCCGCAGAGTACACATGCAGGTGGAAGTGCTGGCATCTCAAAACAAACATGACCAACCCAACAGCTGTTCTTCTACCATTTTCTTCATCTTGGGAAATTGTAATGCTGTTCTTTGCCCAGGCACGCACCTTGTGAACTACTTTCCTCCTTTCTGACTCCACAAAAAGGCTCTGAGCAAATGTTAGTTCCAACTTGCCGATGCTSGTGTCTCCGGACCCGTCCTGCTCTGACCTTGGTCTAGGCACCATCATCTCCCCTGGAATACTCCTAGTTTGTTCCTTTCCTACTTTTGTCCCTCAAACCCCAGCAAGCTATCTTCCACTGGGCAGTCAGAATGGTCTTTTAAAAACACAAATATCAGGAACTGCCTCCTCGTCTCAGAAACCTTCACTTGCTTCCCATTTCACTCTAATGAAGACCCAAGTCCATCCTAAGCCCTGACCCCTGGGAGCTGGCTATTTCCTGACATCCCCATCACTCCCCTAGTACTCATTCCACACCAGCAGCCTTGCTACTTCTGGAACCTACTTAGGACACTGTTAACCCTGGGGCTTAATTTTTCTGCTTGAGACCTCCTTGCCCAGGGATCTGTGCAGCCTCCCCATCTGGCGATTCAGGATTCTGCTTATACGCCATCTCCCAGGAGAGCCTTTCCTTTCTGCATAGTGTAAGCAGAGGCCTCCTCCCCATCTCTCTCATTTTCCACGTGGCTTTACTGTCCACCGTGACCCTTACTGCTCGACATTGTGAATGTGTTTTGCAGATACTGTCCCCCACTGGAACAGAGGCCACAGGTGCTTGCTCCGTGTGCTGCAGAATCACTGGCCCCCACACTGTATCAGCACAGGATCTCCATTCTCAAGTGCTGCTCATAGTAGAGCTTGTTAAAATAATCTGACATGTTGATTTTTTTTTCAAATCCTCTTCCCAAGAAAGAAAAAACAAACAAAAACCAACACTCAACATAACACTAGTAYATCATTGGTAGTTATATACAAAGAAAGGCTTCAGTTGGGCAGTGGCACACAACTGTAATCCCAGCAATGTGGGAGGCTGAGGCAGGAGAATTGCAAGTTTAAGGTCAACTCAGCAAGACCCTGTCCTAATAAAAAACAAATAGAAAAAGACTGGGTATGTAGCTGGGTGGTATAGCATTAGCCTAACATGCTGGAGACTCTGTGTTTGCTCTCCAGTACCACAGACAAAAAAAGAAATGTGTTTCAGGAGAGAAACACCAAATCTCTTAGCAAAAATAATTAACATATTTAAGAGGAAAATACTTTTAAACACTACCACCACATTAGCTTTCCTGGTTATATAAGAAGCACTACTTTTTTTTTTAAATTATAGATGGACACAATATCTTTATTTTATTTTCATGTGGTGCTAAGGATTGAACCCAGTGCCTCTCGCACGCTAGGCGAGCGCTTTACCTCTGAGCCACAACCCCAGCCCAAGAAGCACTACTTTGAGTATCAGCAAGGAACCTGTAGGTCATAGCACTGTGATTTTCGTTTAATCTTTGCAGGATTAAACGAAAGTCAAGAGAAGAAATCTGTGTAATTACTTCTAAAGGGTGTGAGAATAAATGCACATTGAGAGCCTTCTGATACACTGGCTGTACCTTTATTATTTTTACCTTGTTCACTAATAGTTCTGTGATGTGGGTTACCATACACAGTTAGATAATGTCTGCATTGCACACCTAAGGCTATACAGCAAAAGAATCAGAATTAGTACAAATACAAGAACTATATTTACATTCTGTATACTCAAGCTCCAAACATCAGATAGTATTTACAAAATAAAACATGAAAATGAAAATCCAAAATTAATAATGTACATTGTTGCTAATGTGCTCAACTCCTTCACTGGGGAGAGATCAGTTTGCAAAAGTCTTGGTTCAAAAAGGCCACTTATGCTTCATGGGTTTTGTTATAGCGTGTGAAGATGGTGACAAGAGACTTCAATCTCAACAGACAAGTACTTTAGAGCCACAGTGTCTTAAGACAATGCCTTAAACACAAGAAGGCTGGTGGATTCCTCAGGTGAACTGATGCCAGAATACACAGCATGAAAAGAAATGAACTGGAAGACACGGAAAAGCAGCACACAGCAGCCAGGGATCAGCAGGAGGCCAACCTCGGCTTGCACTTCCCACCTAAGCAGCCTTCTGGCTGTGAGTTGTTTGTTTTGTGGTGCTGGGGATGGAACCCAGGGCCTCAGGCATGACAGGCAGGCACTCTGCCACTGAGCCCCAGCCCAGCCTCTGGCTGTGCTTTTAACTTTTATCAATCTAATTTCTTCTTTTAAATGATTGGGGGCTTTCATAAGATTTTATAGGGCTCAAATACTAACTTCATAAATGGCCTTTTGAACAACAGCAGCAAATAATCTCTCAGCAAATGATCTCTGAGCTGCTCCACAGGGTCACGGTCTGGCCTGCAAAGCTGATGGGTTGCGGGCCGTGGCGGATGGCTGCAGTGCACACATGCAGAGTCCTATTCAAACACATCCAGCAATCTCTTGAGAACAGCAGCAGAATTATTCTTTTCTTCTTAAAGAGCAAGTTAATAATCACATTTTGAAAAGGAAACCCAAAGGAAATGCACAGGACCCAAGTCAAACAACCCCTGACACTGTCCAGGAGATCCCGAGCAGAGCCCAGCACCAGAGCAGGAGACACAGGAAGAGTTCCCACAGGTGCTGTACCCAAGAGAATCCTTCTCTTCCAGTCCAATGTGCAATTCATTATAGCTGTATAAATATACAAATACCTTACAAAATTAAATATCCCTGTAAATTAGATAAGAAGCAGCAGGCAATAAAGTCTTTGCTTTGGGATTTGTGCCAGGAGAAGTCACCTCAATTTTAGATCCCCAAAGACCTTTCAAAATGATCTAATTTACTCCTTCAACTAAAAAGCTGAAAAATCCATCCATCTCTAATGTGAGTAGCTGTCTAAATTCTATGTAGCTGGGGTGGAGCAAGTAAAATAATAGTGGTTTCTTAGCTGGGAAAACTTCCTTCCTCACATCAACAATTTCTCCTTTTTAACCATGTGTTGGGGTCCAGGTGCCCACCCAGCCACCAGCAGCAGCCTGGCCTGCGCTCCTGACTGTGTGCAGGGGCTGGCTGGCCCCCCACAGTCCTGGCCTGAGAGCTGACTGACTCCCAGCTGGCACACAGAAACAGGGACAGTCTGAGCACTGGTTTGGGGCTGGTTGTGAGGCCATCTTTCACTTTGGTAGGAGAAAGGAGGATGGGGAAGGGAGAGAAGTTTTAACTATCATACGTTTTTCTGTGGCTGAGTTTTCTTTCTTGCCTTTTTGTTTATTTGAATGAATGCTCTAAGTAAGAAAAAATAAATAAGCCACCTGATGGGTCAGATCTCTTCAAGTTTCCTGCCACCACAGCTACAGCTGGAGCTCCATAAACAGTCTACTCTAAACCCTCTCCCCAAGCTTCTAAGCAGAGACAGCCCTGTTTGGAATGGGAAACATGCATCTTGGAACTGTTCAACTGATCTGAATATAGGCCCCAAGAAAAGGAGTGGAACCCAAGGCTGTGTGTACCCATCAGCCATGGCAGAGGCTCCTGGGATGGGGGAAAGCATGCCTGACCAAGACCTCTTGCAGGACATGACCACTCTCCTACCTCTGATTTTCCAATGAGGCCTTTGTATTTGGGTGTGTGGTGAATACAGTCCAATTTGGCTCATTCTAATGTCTGACCCTCCAAAGCAAAGACTTTCCAAGCCAGTTTTGAGTTAGACCAAAAAAAAAAAAAAAAAAATCAGTTGTTTCAGTGTATCCCAATTTCACTCTTCCTACCTCCCCCTGCCACAGACACGCTCCTTCTGTCCAATTCAACAGCAACATTGCTGATTTAATTTGAAGTGACCTTCAAATTTCATCTTCATTTCCCTGAAATTATCTTCAGCTGCTATCCATGAAGCTGTCTCTCAGCAGACAGATCCTGCTGGACGGCGTGTGTGTCCAGCAGACCATGAAGACTTCTAACTACATTAAAACCTCACACACCGCTTAGGCAACAATATTAAAGTTAGTGACCCATGTTTAAAAATCCACAAATTTTGTTGATCACCTCTCAGATAAGTCTGACTTCTCTGCTTCTTTTATTAAGCTCTCCGTGATTCATTTTCCTCCTCTTTCCAAGGCAATCATAAGTGAGGCACGGAGACTGGCTCCTCAGAGACGAGCCCAACCCAGACTAGACAGAGTTCAGAAGTGAAGCCTGGATGACAAGCCTCCCTAGTGACTGGATGTGAGAGCTCTTGACCCACTGGAAAGTAATTCAGCCCCCCACTACCTGAGAGTGCCCAAGAGCCCTCACTCCTGTCAGATGGAGAGCGCAGGCCTGTGCCTGGAAGCCTGAGCAGTGGTGAAGTAGAGGTGAGCAGGGGAGTGAAGGGTGGCAGGGAGCAACCCCGAGTCACTGGCAAAGCACCTCAAGGACATGGGGCCTTTCTTTAACCCCAGTCATTCCTACAGAACCCACTGGCAGTTGACAGGAGCAGCGTTATCTTCTATGCTGGTCTTTGGAAATGGAAGGATCTGGTCTGTCTGTTGGCAGTGAGCACCCTCCTTTCTCCTTAGGTGGTATTTCTACACTACATGGAGGAGATAGTAACAAAGGAGGAGAGACAGGGCAGGGTACAGCAGCAAACTGTGGGGAAGGGCTCACTCCACCCTATTCTTTGTCCCCAGGTCTGTCTTGTTTTGTTTGGGGTGGGAGTTGGTCTTAATCTTGGGATCCAGAAAGTCAAGACTGCCATGTTTGCTCATTTATGAGTACAGGGTGATGAGCTACTGGATGCACAGGCAGATTTCCACATTTATCCTGAAAGCTGCACTTTGATCAAAAGGAGCTACAATATCAAGTCCCTACTCCGCATCAAGTTTATCACTCCCCCTTGTGGGAAATGTGTGCATGACGCTGCTCTAATTGATAATGTGTCCACTGTCATCCTTAATGCCAATAACAGAACTCAGAAACTCCTGAGCAAGAGCCTTCCTCTCAGTAGGGAAAAGCAGTTCACAAGGGTCCCTCTGATTGCTGCCTTCATGGCCCACTGCAGGTCCTGTGTCTTGTGAGCCCCCTGCACCCTCAGCCTGTCCCTTCCCACAAGGCCAACAGCAACCATGGCCCCAGCCTACTGAAAAGGCTCCTCTTACAGCTCCCATTCCATGAAATCCTGTAACTATGCTCCCAGCTTGACTCAGAATCTTAACTGTCCCATTCTTGAGCCCACTAGAACTTTTTCCCTGAATGGAAATACAGGGATTGGCCACAGAAAAAAAGAGACAGAAGGGGGAAAATATAAATTTTTTTTCTCAGGGTCTAACAAGGCCAGATTTTTCCTCCCTTAGTCTCTAAGCCACCCAAGAAAATATTAATGCTATCACAGAAAAAAAGAAAGAAAAAAAAAGGAACCTTGAAAAACAGTCAGAGGTATTATCCAAAGACAACAGCGAGACCTCACTGGTGGTCATGATGGGCCCTATCATACAAAAGGCAGCCAAAGTACACCAAAAAAAAATAACGTGGAGACTCACTGGATCCCCTCAGGTGTGTGTGTATGTGGGTGCGCACTGCTGTTAATCTTTTTTCCTTTCATTAGGCCACATGCTACTAACAAGATTCTTAGCACAAGAAAAAAGGAAAGAGTACAGAGCCATGAAGATGGGCAACAGGAGAACTAGAAAAAGTGCTGGACAAGGAGGGAAAAGTAGTTAAGCACAGGGTCACATACAGGAGCAACCGTCAAGAATCACAAAGAGAATGAGAGGTAACACTTCCTTTATCTCTCGAAGGCGAGTGCAGCTTAGTATTTAGGCTGGCTTGTGCATCTGCGGGAGAGTTTAGACCTGTGGGACAAATGGGAGGCAGGATCAGCAAACTGGATTTGGGTGTCCTCAACTCACAGGTCTTTTTCCTCTGCAGGACCAGGTCTTCTGGGACCTTGGATGAATGCGAGGCTGAGRTCCTGCCAACTCTGGGGACCCTGTGACACTAGCCCCACTGAGGACCTGTGGCTGAATCACAGGGCTGAATGGTGGGAGATATTAAGGTCCTTACAATCTTCCCTTTCCTTGGTGCCCTGAACCCCACCTGCAGACCTTGAGAACAAAAAAAGGAGATCAAGGGTACACATGTGACCAGAGTCTCCTTGGTGACCAGGATACAAAACGGTACCTTAAGGAAAGGAGAGGCCTCATCACCACTATACAGTTCACTGCAGTCCTGCTCTCCCTGCACCTCAACGTTTCCTATTTATGTGGATATCTCTGAAGCCAAAAGTCCAGGGGAGAAAGCAAACAGAAGAACTTCTTACCGTATCGTGCCAGCAAGGAGTGGGTTAAAGGCATATAACCAGTCATTCATGTCTTTGTCATTGAGAGCCTGCAGAAGGACCCCACGATGCTTTGTGCATACAGCAAACGTGTTAGGTGTCTGAAAGAGAGAGGTAGAGAAGAAGGTTGCTGCATGGAACAAGCAGTGGGGACCATCCTGCCACATTTGCCAGGTTCACAGGGTATAAAGAGCTTTAGGCTGAAAGCTCAAGGAATTCAAGTCTACAGGAGGATCCATACCACACAACAGAACCTTAAACTCAAAAGGGAAGGCACGTGTGGCAGTGAAAAGCCAGGGCAGAGCAGGACTGACCTTCACCATGGCCTGCTGGTCCTCGCTGTATTCCACCTGTGCTGTGGACAGGTTAATGATGCCACGCTCCACAGGGTCCTTGTCACTGTTATAGATGAAGACGTAAGGGCGGCGGACCACAACAAAATGTTTAGCCCAGTTGCTGGAAAGTGGCTCCTTGAAATGCAGATATCCTTTCTTAGAGACAACTGAGCTAAAAGGACAGTACAAAAAAGTTAGTTTCTCACAAAAAGAAAATGATCATATGCTGAGCATGAGATAATGCATGCCTATAATTCCAGTCAATTGGGAGGCTGAAGCAGGAAGATTGCAAGTTCAAGGCCAGCCTCAGCAACTTAGCAGGTCCTAAGCAACTTAGTGAGACCCTATCTCAAAAAAAAAAAATAAAATAAAAAGGGCTGAGGATGTGGCCCAGTGGTAAAATGCCCTGGGTTCAGTACCCAGTTCCACAAAACCAGAAAAAAGACAGACAATCATGAGTTGAGCACTATTAATGGTCTTTTTGCCCTAGATTCTTTTCTGCCAAATTAATACAGCAAAACAGCAAAAAGTGCCCCAACACCATGCTGTGTCAGATGCCGATGCCTGATGAGGTATAGCTGGGGCAGAAATCCAGTCTGGCTCCTTCCCCAGATTGAAAGTGCACTAGATTACAACAGGCTCACACACATGAGTTGGAAGTCAATTCTTCTTGCTAATTTTTTATATCTAGTATCCCTGGGGAATAGAGTACTTACCCTGGTCTAATTTCTTCAATATCTGGAACGAGATTGAGAAATTCATTTTTTCCTGCTCTGGCCAAATAGGGTGTTTCCACAGCTGGAACAATCTGAAACTGTTCAAATTCTGGGCAGGGACTAGATGCTCGGGAAATGGCTTCTGGGGTCCTTTAAAAGAGAGAGGTTAGAAAGAAAAGGGTAATGAGAGTCTCAGTAAAGCCAAAGCATCTTGGGCACAGCCACCTCTCCAGGAGGATATGGCTCCTCTCCCTGAGCACCAGCTGCAAATGTCAGTTTCAGAGAACTCAGCCGAGTAGACAAGCTCCTATCAGAAAGTCAACACTGAATTCTACTGGTGTCCTCCTAGAGTTGCAAGAGGTCACTGATAATCACTGAGTCTCAGTTTATCTTCTTAGCCTAAGGCTCTCTGAATACAAGTTCCTGAATGTGAACTCTATTCCCTTAAGTTTCTTTTTAGTTCTGTAGTCAAACCTAGGGTGGTTTTCAAAATGTGGTCTCTATACTTGCCTGGCATGCATGAGGTCCTGGGTTCTAGCCCTAGCACAGAGAATAAAGAAGTGGTCTCTGACTGATAGCAACAGCTTCATCTGGGAAACTGTCAGAAGTTCAAATTCTTAAGATTCTAACAGATACCTCCAGCATCAGAAACTTTGGGTGGGGCCTGGCCATCTATAAGCCTTCTAGAGGATACCATGCACTCAATCTGAGATCTCAATCTGCCTTAGGAGTAGCAGATAAAGTCAACAAATGGGAAGAACCTTGGTTCCTAATGGCTGTGCAAGCAGAGCTGCAACACTGAGCTGGACCAGTTCTCTTTTCTGAGAAAGAATCTCCTAGGTTCTGTGTGGTATCTTCATAGAGCAGCTTAGCCTAAGATGGTATTCTCACTGATTGTAAGAAACCCTTTTTTTCATAATTTATCACTTCTTAAATTGCGATGCCTCTTACAGGTGATGGCATGTTAAACTGAATTAGTTTTTTTTTTCTTAGTGGCCTATAAAGTAATCTTATAGTTGATGGCATCCTAAATTTATATCATTTAATGAGAAAAGGCTCCAGTGCATTTCTGAACATTGCCAGGGGGATGGCACTGCCCTCACTGAGAACCAGAGCTGGGGGAAGGCTAACATTTTCCTTGGTTCTTAGACTGACTTCTCTGTGAAATTTGGGTACTTACTTTTGATCCGCAGAGTTGCTCCTAGAGTCTACCAGAGAGGGGCAGGTGGAGGAGGGAGTGAGGGTAGCGCTGCTGAAACTGGACACAGAGGGATCCCGCCCAATTGGAGAGATATCAGACAACTGGAAGCAAAAAAAAAACCAAAGAACAAAAAATAGCCAGTGAGATTCAGGAGCAAATGGCTTCCTCTCATCAGGCACAGTAGGGCACGCCTGCCATCCCAGCAACTCAGGAAGCTGAGGTAGGAGGACTGCAAGTTGAGTTAGACTAGGTAACTTAGCAAGACCCTGTTAAAGATCAAAAATAGAAAGGGCTGGGAATTTAGCTCAGTGGCAAGGCACCCTTGGGTTTAATCTCCTGTACCATAATAAATCACAAGTAAATAAAAAAATAAATTTTGAAAAGCTACCTTTGCCATAGTCTTTGATAACCATTGACTTCCTTTCAAAAACCTTCAGAAGATCACTTAATAAAATAAACCTACAGATGGGGCAGTGGTGCACACCTGTAATTCCAGCTACTCAGGAGCTGAGAGGAGGGATTGCAAGTTCAAAGTCAGCTTCAGCAATTTAGCGAATCCCTAAACAACTTAATGAGATCCTGTCTCAAAATAAAAAAATAAAAAGGGCTGGAGGTGTAGCTCAGTGGTAGAGCATCCCTAGGCTCAGTCTGAAGAGCTGCCAAAAATAAAAAGCATGCACATAAAAAATTATTATTGTCAGTAAATAAATCAAACAAAAATTCAAAAAGAGAAAGTAAATAAGTCTACAAATATTTTATAGACTGAACACAACATTAGAAATCAAGACATTTACAAAAGATGGGGCTAAAATGCACCTGCTGAGCATGTGGGAGTCCCTAGGAGAAATAAGAGAAAGGGGAAAAAAAGATGGGAAGGGAAGAGGGGGAAAAAAAGCAGGGCGGGAATGTAGTTCAGTGGTAAGTGCCCCTGGGTTCAAACCCCAGCAGCAAAATAAAAAAAATAAAAATAAAAATAAATAAATAAATAAATAAATGCATACAAGCTGCCTCTGCCATAGGCATTAACAATTAGTGCCTTCCCTTCATAAAGTTTTAGGGATAAGGGATACAGCTTAGTGGTAGAATACTTGCCTAGCACATGTTAAGGCCCTGGGTTTGACCTCTAGCATCACACACACACAAACTCAAAAAAAAAAAAAAATTGAGGGGTGTATTTCTTTTTTTTTTTTTTTTTTTAAGAGAGAGTGAGAGAGGGAGAGAGAGAGAATTTTTAATATTTATTTATTTTTTTTTAGTTCTCGGCGGACACAACATCTTTGTTGGTATGTGGTGCTGAGGATCGAACCCGGGTCGCACGCATGCCAGGTGAGCGCGCTACCGCTTGAGCCACATCCCCAGCCCTTGAGGGGTGTATTTCAATGGTAGAATGTTTTTCTAGCATGCAAGAGGCCCTGGGTTTTATCCCCAGCACCATTTTAAAAAAAAGAATGACATTTACAAAAGAAGTAGAGCTGTTTTTTAAATATTACTATGACCCTCTGACATTAATTAAATAACATTATGCATGCATGAACCCAAGCAGCCACCACAAGCTATGTGTTGTACTAAGAACACAGTAGAGGTCCTGCTCTCCTATGTCCTGCTCTCCTATGTCCTGCTCTGGAGTTTACATTTTAGTAGAGAAGGCAGACAATAAACCACTGAACAAACGCTTTTAAAACTGCTGTTTGGGGACTGGGATGTGGCTCAATGGTACAGCACTTGCCTAGCATATGTGAGGCACTGGGTTCAATTCTCAGCACCACTTATAAACAAATAAATAAATAAATAAAGGTCCATCAATAACTAATAAAAATATTTTTTTAAAGAGTGTTGTTTAGTAACTGGGTGCAGTGGTACATGCCCATAACCCCAGCAACTTAGGAGGCCAAGGCAGAATTCTAAGTTCGAGGCCAGACTCAGCAACTGGGAGAGATCCTGTCTCCAAATTTAAAAAAGGTAGAAGGGATGGGGGCTGGGGATGTAGCTCAGTGGTACAGCACCCCTGGGTTCAATCCCCAGTACTGCAAAAAGGTAAAGAAAAAAAAAAAAAGGTACCAGGTAATAATAAGCACTACAGTGAAAAATAACACAGTGTGGTGTGGAAAGTTGAGAGGGCGGCCAGCTTGTGATTGGGCAGTTAAGGAGGCCTGCTCCACACAGGCAATCTTAGACCCCTGCAAAGACCCCTGGCAGGAATGAGCTGGGAGTGTTTAAAGAACAGCAAAAAAGCTCATGCTGATGAAGACAGAGTGAATGACATAGTTCTCTGAAGTGTTTTCCTCACTCTTTGCTGAACACACTAGGTTTTTTGCCACCAAGAAAAAGCCTTAAGACTTTCTTGTGCCTTGTCATACACAAACATATCACCGTCTACAGAATATTCTTCTCCAAGGGATTTAAGGAGAATCCCAAAATGTTTTTCCTCTGATAATCACTGTAAGGGACACATACATTGTTATCTTCAGAAGTCAGTGTTCTGACTTTGAAAAACCAGATACATTTTCAGACATAATGGTCACATATCAAGCCATCTAAAAGCATCAAAAGCCAGGGACAAAATCTGGAATGCTGAAGAGAAACTGGTAACCAACACACTAGCTAATGATGATGGCTTCAAGGTGCTCACCTTACAGTCACTGATGCTGCCATGAACTTGGTTGAATTCTCGATTAAAAGTATGGGTGAGAAGCTGCAGGCACTAAAGAAGAGAAAGAGAAAATGAAGTTGAACTTAAGACTTCATTGGCTAAACAAAGCCTGGGATGCAAGGTAGGAGGGGAACTGACACACCTAAAACTCATGCTGGGGCTCAGATGTTACCCAGACAGCTATGGAAATTAACCACATATACAACAAGGGAAGTCTAGTATATGTCTAATAAAGATAATAAAATAAATAGATCAAGATGGGCAAAGTGACACATGCCTGTAATCTCAGCAACTTGGAAGGCTGAGGCAGGAGGATTGCAAGTTTGAGGCTAGCCTCAGCAATTTAGTGAGGCCCTATGCAATTCAGTAAGACCCTGTCTCAAAATAAAAAACTAAAGGTTGGGCATGTGACTCAGTGGTTAAGCAACTGTGGGTTCAATCCAAAATAAATACCTAATAATAATACCAAAATAAATACATAATAATAAATAAATAGATTTAAAAAGTTATTTTCAGCAGGATGCAGTGGCATACACCTGTAATCCCAGTTGTTCAGGAGGCTGAGGCAGGAGAGTCCAAGTTAAAGGCCAACATGGGAAATTCAGCAAGATAAAATAAAAAATAAAATGTGCTGGGAAAATGGCTCAGTGACAAAACGCTCCTGGGTTCAATTCCAAGTGCCTAAATAAATAGCCATTCTCAACACAACAAAAGTGAATTACTGCCAGGCACGGTAGTGCATGCTTGTAATCCCAGCATTTGGGGAGACTAAGGCATGAAGACCACAAATTCAAGGCCAGTCTCAGCAACTTAGCAAGACACATCTCAAAATAAAAAAGGGTAGGTTAAGTATCTCTGGGTTCAATATTGGTTTGTTTGTTTTTTTTTTTTTTTGGTTATTGGGGATTGAGCTCAGGGGGTTTCAAGCACTGAGCTACATCCTCAGCCCTATTTTGTATTTAATTTAGAGACAGAGCCTCACTGAGTTGCTTATGCCTTGCTTTTGCTGAAGCTGGCTTTGAACTCAAGATCATCTGCCTCAGCCTTTCGAGCCGCTGGGATTACAGACATGTGCCACCATGCCTGGAGGGGTTCAAACAAAAAATGGATTACTGAAAACACCATAGTATGTAAATGCTTATGAATGCAATAGTACTCCTTTAATTCTCAATACACGGAGACTTCTGGATGGACAAGTTTTCCTAAACAAAGTAGAAGACTATTAGGTTACGAAGTTGCCTAGCAACTATACCCCTGGGAATCATCCTCAATAACCCTCTTTTTTTCCCACCACATCTGATCAGATTCCCCCTTCCACCTCATCCTCATTTAAAAGGCTTAAACATGACAGGTGCAGTGGCTTATGCCTGTAATTCCACCAACTTTGGAGGCTGAGGCAGGAAGATCCCAAGTTTGAGGTCAACCTCAGCAATAAGTGAGACTGCTCAAAATTTAAAAAATAAATAAAAAGGGCCAGGGGAACTGACCCCTTCTACCACCCAACAAAAAAAGGTTTCAAGATGGGTCTGGGGATGTAGCTCAGTGGCAGAGTGCTTGCCTAGCATGATCAGGTTCTGGTTTAAATCCCCAGTACTGAGCCCCCACCCGAAAAAAAAGTTTCATAATTTCTTATTGGATTACTATATGAAAAGAGGTCTTCCTTTCTCAGTGATTCTTTTCACTACTATTCCATTCTTTTTATTGCTGCCAGGGAAATCTTTCTCAAAAAATAATGTTTAAGGGCTGGGGATATGGCTCAGTGGTAGAGTGATTGCCTAGAATGTTTGAAGAGCTGGGTTTGATTCTCAGCACCATATAAAAATGAATAAATAAAATAAAGGTACTGTACCTATCTACAACTAAAAAAGAATAAAAAAATAATAATGTTTAGGGGCTGTGGCTGTGGTTCAGCAGTAGTGCACTTGCCTGGCATGTGTGAGGCACTGGGTTGGATTCTCATCACCATATTAAAATAAATAAATAAAATAAAGGTCTACCAACAAACTAACAAATATTAAAAAAAATAATGTTTAAAATATTTCCGGGGGCTGGAGATGTGGCTCAGCGGTAGCGCGCTCCCCTGGCATGCGTGCGGCCCGGGTTCGATCCTCAGCACCACATACCAACAAAGATGTTGTGTCCACCGAGAACTAAAAAATAAATGTTAAAAAATAAACTAAAAAATAAATGTTAAAAATTCTCTCTTTCTCTCTCCTCTCTCACTCTCTCTTTAAAAAAAAAAAATAAATAAATAAATAAATAAAATAAAATATTTCCGCATTGGCTAAGGGTATAGCTCAGGGGTATTTCTGGGTTCAATATGAATGAGACTCTGGGTGTGATTCCCAGTACTGGGAGTGGGGGAAAAGCCTATACCACTCCCAAGATCCACTTGAAACTTTAGTGTCACACACAGTACCCTCTCTTATCTCCCACCCCTCTTGCACATGAATTCCSTAAGACTGATTATAGAGAAGTCTGCTGGCTCGGTCCTGTATGTCCTTATAAGCCTTCCCCTAAGAGAAACACGCCTCTGTTGTATGTTCGTTGCCCATAATCTTATGCATAAAGCAGGAATTGAGTCTTATTTACTTCTACATTCAGAGTATAAGCACAGACCTTGAACCAGTGTCTCTCAAAGAAAGTGATGAAAATGAACAAACTGCAAGATTAGCTCAGAGCCTTGGGGTAGGAATGCTCAGCCAGGAGGAAGGAGTTCTCACCTTGGTAGCCAGCTCTTTCTCACGATCCACTAGGCTTTCAATGTCTGCGGAGTCATAGCCACTGCTCTCACTAGGTGTGATGGCACTTTCAAAGGTTGTGGTTGAGATCTGAGAGGAGATGCTGGTGGAGGTGCTGAGGGTCCCACTGCTGAGGCTGGGGGACAGCGAGTCACTCAGGGATTTGGGGATGCTATCACCAAGTCTTTCACGCAGCAGGAGGAAGTGGCGGGTTTTCTCCACCTAAGAAGATCAACACTATTGCCTCAGCAAACACAAGGCTCATGAGGGTCTTAAGAAGCAAAATATTATGACTTCATCATCACAGAAAACTGAAAAGCCATGATCACATGGCAAAGCCAGAGGTTAAGGATTGGGATTGTGCCATCCTGCAATCAAGTTCTTGCCCTTGGCCCCTCCTGCCCTTGGATACCTCATGCAACAGCTCCAGCTTCTCCAGTTCCCATTGATGCTCCAGGATGAGGCTGTCTCCACGCGGCCGCCAACCTGCTAAGTTCTCTTCTCCCCGCACATATGCCACCGAGGTATCCAAGACTTTTCTCCTCCTCCTCTGCATGCCTAAGACAGAGGGAACATTTTTTCTTCTCAAAGAAAAATTCAATTCCAACTTTAGGTCAAATGAGTTGTTAATTCTTTTCTTTTTTTTTTTTTTGGCAGTGCTGTAAATCCTATCCAGGGTCCCACACATGAGAATTACTAATCATTATACATAATAAGCTAACTATGATTTCAAGATCCATAAAATTTTGTTTATTAATAAAAATTCACACATTTCTCTCAAAGTAACTCTCTAAACTTTTTTGGTGTGGTGCTGAACTTTTTAAAAAACTGAGTTTTATATTCTTTGATAATTATGAAAATTGAAATACAATGTGAGATAATGCTCAAGTTTTGTGTTAAGTGAAAATATGGAGATGTTAAGAAGTCTGTACACTATGATTCTAAATGCATTAAAATATATCCATATGAAAAAAGTGGAAAGGGACTGCACACACACATTTAGTAGTTCAATGGTGGTAGATGACAGATGGCGTTAACCTCCATCATGTCTAATTATTCCTTCATTTATTTATTGCAGTACCGGGAATTGAACACAGGGCCTTATGCATCCTGTACAAGTACTCTATCACTGAGTTACACCCCAGCCCTTTTTATTTTTTTATTTTGAGACAGTATCTCACACTAAGTTGCCCAGGCTGGCCTTGAATTTGCAATCCTCCTGTCTCAGCCTCCTGAGTAGCTGGAATATGAGAATCACCATTCCTGGCTTTCCATTTATTTTTCATAAATGATACACTAATTTCACAAAGGAAATATATGAACTTATATTATTCTTTATCTAAATCTTTCCTGTGGGTCCTGACTCCTTTTCCATGTATGTTATCTAAAATGACTCAAACTACTAGGCTGGGAATATAGCTCAGTGGTAGACCACTTGCCTAGCATGAGCAAGGCAGGTCCTGGGTTTGATCTCCAGAACCACAAAAAATATAACAAAATAACTCAAATGCTCATTAATCAAATATTTTTTTTAATGATTTTTTTTGAGAGAGAGAGAGAGAGAGAGAGAGAGAGAGAGAGAGAGAGAGAGAGAAGAGAATTTTAATATTTGTTATTTTTTAGTTTTTGGCGGACACAACATCTTTGTTTGTATGTGGTGCTGAGGATCGAACCCGGGCCACACGCATGCCAGGCGAGCGCGCTACCGCTTGAGCCACATCCCCAACCCAAATCAAATATTTTTTAAAAACCTGTGCAAGGACAGGGGTATAAGTGGTAGAGTGTTTGCTTGGTATGTGTGAGGCCCTGGGTTCAATCTCCAGCATCGTAAACAACAAAAAACCCTGTGCTATGGTTTGAACATCTCCCCAAAACTTATGCTGAGACATTTGGTGGTGCACACCTTTAATTCCAGTAACTCTGGAGGCTGAGATAGGAAGATTCCAAGTTGGAGGCCAGCCTCAGCAACTTGGCAAAGCCATGAGGAACTTAAGAACTTTGAGACCCTGTTTCAAAATAAAACAGGGCTGAGGATATAGCTGATGACAAAGTGCCCTTGAGGTTCAATCCTCAGTACCAAAAAGCTCCCACAAAATTCATCTTAAAATTTAACTGCCATTGTGATAGTATTAAGGGGTGAGACCTTTGATTACAGCTTAATATTGTTATCTTGGGAGTGAGTTAGTTATGAAAGGGAGAGTTTGGGCCCTCTCCCCTCTAGTTTCTGATGCTATAGGTCTGGGTTAGAGTCTGAAGAATTTGATTTTTTTTTTCTTTTGAATCTAGGGCCTTGCAAATACTAGGCAAGCATACGACTATTGAGCTACATCCCCAGCTCAGAATGTGAATTTTTGACAATTTCGCAGGTGAAGCTACTGCTGTTTCTGCTCAGTAATGTATTACACCAAGTTATCTTTGGGCTAAGGTGGTGAGGGAAGTGGTTACAGTTTTGAAGTCAAATTCATTCTAATTCACTCGAAAGTTTTATATTTCCCGGCCTACCAACATTTTGTTTGATATAATTTTTGAAACTATTTTACATATCATAGACCAAACAATATTGCAATTCTGAAAAAGGTAATTCTTACCACCATCACTAAAGCTGGTTTGTAAAATATACATGTTTCTAAAATTTTTTCATCTATCCACATAATTTTTTAATTTTTTTGTAACAGGGATTGAACCCAGGGGCACTTAATCACTGATCCACACCCCTAGCCCTTTTTTGCATTTTATTTAGAGACAGAGTCTTGCTGAGTTGTTTAGGGCCTTGCTAAGTTGCTGAGGCTGGCTTTGAACCACGATCCTTCTGCCTCAGCCTCTCAAGGTGCTGGGATTACTGGTATTCATTACCAAGCCCAGATAATTTTTTTGTAATATACTTGAAACATATCAAGATATTATCACGTCTACAATCCATAGGCACTTACCCGGACTGCCTGTGTCTGCCATTTTGCATAAGCTGAGTTCATAAATTCCAGTGACTCGGTTGCTATTTGAAAATAAAGTAAAACTGCTTCATTTCTTATAGCACAAAAATAGGAAAAATCTCAATTCCATCTACTTAAATTCTTCTGTAGGGACTGTAACCCACCTCAAATATAACTACAGATATTTCTTATCAGTCACTGTTCTTTTCCTATTCTGAACTAAAGCAGTATATATATATCTTTTCTTAGGAGGAGCTTGTTTTCATCTCAGTCTTTTGATAGCTACATTAATAAGGATAATTTAACACAAATGTAAAAACTAAAAAAATTGCTTTTTGTTAACATAAGAGAATAGATAAGGGGGAAAATGTCTGACTGGAATGAAATGACATACAACACATTCTGGGGATCGTGAGTGAGAAGGGATATACCTTAAATATGCATAATATTAAAAAGAAAAAATCCCAATGATAATCTGTTAGAAATAGTAATAGTGCCATTCAGTCCCTGCAAAGCTATTTGGGAACTGTTTACAATGTAATATTCTTCCTTTCTTTATTAGCTTGTCCACCCATCAACATTTTATTAAATGCCAGATGCACGTCTCTGTACTCCAGCTATCAGTTACTCAAATAATTTGTAAACTAACCATGAAACAGCAAGCTGGGGAAGACTAATGACTGCTGATTCTATTGTACTGGTCAAAGGAACTGACAGGTAAACATCTCAAAAACTTACGAATCTGGGGACTTTGAGTAGCCACTGCCAAAGAGGCTGCGCAGAGAGCGTGGAGGCGAGATCTTGGCATCTCGGGAATAGAAGACCATGCACACATCCTTGGTGACGACAGCTGGCTGGATGCAATGATCCAACTGGAAGCACACAAAAGCAGGTGCTATGTAAATGAAGCAGAGTACCTGTGACCACAGGCTGTGCAGTAGCATATTTGGAAAGCTAGATTTGGAGATGGCAAGGTTTCAGAGCCACCAATTATTTAAACAGAAACTGAATAGATAATATGTGCAAGGTCAGCATATAATCTGAAAATATAGCTCAGTGTTAGAGCACTTGCCCTACCACTGTTCAACAGATGAGCAAACTGAGGCACAGAGATTTTTCAAAAAGGGATTTGAACTCAGGGTGTTTTCAGGCTTTCAACTATGGAACCACTCCTATGCTCTGCCACAACCATGAAAACAAAGAGGTGCTATTTTCTTAAAGTCATACATTCTTTGAAAGAATGGTAACTGGGTTACTAAAGCATAAGCCATCATAAAATTTGGGATCTTTTGACTAAATAGAGAGCAAGAACACAAACTAATATAACAATCAACAAAGTATAATGAAGCATATAATTTAAGGATGTGGAAGAAGAAAGGAGGATGAAATACGTCAATCTTCCCTGACTGACTCTATAACTTGCCCAATGCTCTGGGCTGGCTACTCACAGTCCTTGAAATTCTGAGTCTACTCACCTCTAGGTAGGCTGACAAGGTCATGTAGATCTTTTCTCCATAGGGTGTCACTCGGTTCAGAAGAAGGGAGTTATGCAGGGAGCTGTCCCATACTGCCTCAAAACGGTAGAAAGTCCTGAGGTCAGAAACACATGAGGGCATCAGCCAAGAGCAGCTGTTGATACTGTAGTCCAGGTTCTGCTACTGTCAGTAATCCTAAGGAATCCTACACCAGCCATCAACACTTTTATTTATTACCCTCATCTCCTAGGAGGAAAAGTAGGTCCTCATCCTCTTGCCCCACCCATCATTAAGGTATAATTGGCAGTGCTCACATTGTTCTTCTTTTAGGACAAGCTTCTGTATATGAACATAAAAACTGTGTGAGAAACTAAAGACATTAAGATGAGAAGAATAAGTGAGTATGCCTAAAATCCTAGAAAAACTAAGCAAGCTCCCCTGTCATTCAATGATGAAAGCAGATCTAATCTTCACATCACCAGATCTGATCTTCATAGGCCTGCACTGCCAAGCCTCAGAAACATAAGAAATATATCTGGGATCAGGTGTGGTAATCCCATCAGCTCAGGAGGCTGAGGCAAGAGGATCAAGTTCAAAGCCAACCTCAGCAATTTAGTGAGGCCCTATGCAACTTACTGAGACCCTGTCTCAAAATAAAACATAAAGGGCTGGGGTTGTGGCTAAGGGGCAGAGCACTTGCCTAGCATGGGTGAGATACTAGGTTCAATCCTCAGCACTGCATATAAATAAATAAAATAAAGGTCCATTGACAATTAAAAAAAATACATATATATATATATATATATATACACACAATAAAAATATTAAAAAAGGGCTGGGGATGTAGCTCAGTGATTAAGTGCCCCTGGGTTCAATCCCCAGTAACAACAACAAAAAATACATCTGGGAGGCTTGCTGGTGGGAACAGGTAGAAGAATTTTAAATATGGAGAGCCTTGTTCTAAATAAAAGAATAAGAGCCGGTATTTCAATGAAAGAGGATGATTTTTTTTTTTAGCTAGGTGTGGTGGTGCATGCCTGTAATTTGAGAGGCAGTTTGGGAGGCTGAGGCAGGAGGTTTAAGGGTTCAAAGCCAGCCTCAGCAACAGCAAGGTGTTAGTACCTAAACAGCTCAGTGAGATCCTGTATCTAAATCAAATACAAAATAGGGCTGGAGATGTGGCTCAGTGGTTGAGTGTCCTTGAGTTCAATCCCTGGTACTCCCCCAAAAAGGATGATTTTTTTAACAAGAGCCAGCTGTTATCATTTGTTACTTTTTGTATCTCATATATTTTCTTTTGGTATTAGAGATTTAATCCAGAGGTGCTTAACCACTTAGACACAACTCCAGCCCTTTTTWTTTTTATTTTATTTGAGACAGGGTTCTCACTAAGTTGCTTAGGGCCTTGCTTAGTTGCTGAGGCTGGCCTTGAACTTGTATCTTCCTGCCTCAACCTCCCAAGCTGTTGGGACTATAGGTGTGTGCCATCACACCCAACCAATCTCTTTTTTTTTTTTTTTTGGTGTTGGGTATTGAACTCAGGGCCTGTGCATGAGAGGCAGGCACTTTACCAACTGAGCTATATCCCCAGCCCCCAGCCGATCTTTTATTTAAGAAAGAATCAGAAGCTAAACTTAGAAGATACCCAAAAAATGGTTTTTTTTTTAATTGTTCTAATATCATTTTTCCCTACTGACAAAAAATACAGACAAGCTGACATTCACCCTTTCAGTTTAGCAAGTCTCATCTGAAACACTGCTGGGTTTGATGGCAGTTTTACAGATTAACCTCAGGCTCTGCCTCACCCTTCCCTCCTTGTGACCATGACATGTGTCAGGGAAGATGCTTTGTTTACTCCACCACCACTAGCTCTCCAAAGCACATCTGACTCACCTAGGAAGAGTGTCTGCACCCTACCACTAGGTTCCTCCTTAGTCTAGCCCAAATGGTGATCTGACTGGTTCTGCCTTCTCTAGGTCTCCTGTGATAATTAGCAGGCAAGTCCTCTCTAAACATACCCAATGCTTCATCCTCTGGAATGAACAAAGGAAATGACACATTTCTGAAAGTGAGCTCCTGGACCACACATACTCCAAGTGCCTGTAAGGTGTGGTCACGCCCCTTTATAGCTGCTTTTTAATTTGACTCTTACAGGACTAATTCTTAAATGGCTAGCTTTTAAAGCAACAAGCTTGGGTCAGAAAAATTCTCAACAAAGACACTGAAGGACTACACATAGAAGCAGCTAATAAGATAAAGTCACCAAGGGGCTCAAACAGCAAATGAAATGATAGGCAACAGGAAACTTTCCATGGCTTCTGGGTTCAGGGAGGCATCCACATAGCCCTGCTTAGATACAATCTTCACTTTAATTTGGTTTAAGACAGATTCTAACATTGGGTGACAATATTCACCATTTCAGCAGAAGCTACCTAAGAACTATATCACCTCAACAGCTGTTCTTTTATTGTGTTATGGCCTTTGTCAAGGTGCCTAGATTAGGGCCTACCTATCAGATGGTAGAGGGACAGCCACTACCTGTACTAGCCCCCCCCCCCAAAAAAAAAAGCCCCTCTGACAGCTGAGAGAAATTCCTATCACTGCTGCCTATAGCCTATACTTAGTGATTTGCTCTGAGTTCCACAGAACTCCACCCTGAGTTCAAATCCCTGTTTTGAAAAATCTCTGTGCCTCAGTTTCTCATCTGGGTCTTTCAGCTGAGGCAATGTTTTACACTTGTACAGGAAAGCCTCTCCACATTTGTGTTTTCCCGTAACCTAAAGTGAAAATTTCAATGGCAGAAACCTGGCTCATATAAAGGAAATTTTGACTTCACTAAAACATTGCTATATTGAAAAAAATTTGTGTGTTTTGTTTTGTAGTTGCTACAAGACATTCTATTGGAATACCCACCAAAAATGGCAGGTTTTCTTTTTTTTTTGGTACTGGGGATTGAACCCAGTACCAAATTGGTCCAGCTGTAGGTTCAATGTGCCCAGCTCAAAGGTGGCAATTCTTGAGAGGTGGTTATAAGAAATACTCTGAGACTGGTAAGCAATATCAATGAAAAGAAATTGGCATGAGCCAGGTGTGGTGGGGCATGCCTATAATCCCAGAAGCTGGGGAGGCCAAGGCAGAAGGATCGAAAATTCAGAGTCAGCCTAAGCAACTTAGTGAGGCCCTAAAGCAACGTAGAAAGTCTCCTATCTCAAAATAAAATATTAAAAAGGGCTGGGAATGTGGCTCAGTGGTTAAATGCCTCTGGGTTCAAATCCTGGTGAAGAAGAAGAAGCGGGGGAGGAAGAGGAGGGGAGGAGGAAGAGGAGAAGAAATAATAATAATAATAATAATAATAATGGGCATGAGAACCTGGAGTTAGAAACAGAGCTGAGTCCCAGTGCATGCTTTTTCCTGTATGGTTCAGGAGGTAGTGAAAAATGATTCCAAATACATTCCTAAAGATGTGCTGACCAACACAGGACCAAAGTAAGAAACAGGTTTCAAGGTGAATGCTTAAATTATATATTCGCTTGAATTATTAATTGTGAACAATTTAAAAACCAACTTCTTATGGTCATAACTAATTTTTTCCTGAGACATTCAATTAAGAAAATGCAATGGTGAGGCACTAAGCAACTCAAAATATAAAATAGGATTTTTTTTTGTGTGTGTGTGTGTGTTGGGGATTAAATTCAGGACATGTGTGCTTAAGCAAGTACTCTAAGCCCAGCCCTTGATGGACCCTCTTGAGTTTACTAAGACTCTCTGAAATACGAACTAGATGGAGTCCAGGTTAAGATATAAACTTGGGGCCAGGGATGTGGCTCAGTGGTAGAGCATTTGCCTAGCAAGTTTAAGACCCTGGGTTCCATTTCCAACACAGCAAAACAAAAAACAAAAAAACTTGGATCTGGCAGTATAGCGGGAGTGCAGTCCCAGACCTGAGTCTGGCACCACAAAAATAAACGAACAAATAAATAAGATGTAAACTCATATTAATAATATCAGTAAAAAAACATTCAGGCTATATTGTCATGCATTGCTTCTTTCAGCTTGCTTCCCTAAATCAAATAAAGGAAGAGATGGGAAAAACTTTCTTTACTACTAATGCAGACTTTTTTCCACTCTAAAATAAGAAAGATAAGGACCTATAACAGAAGAATGAAAAATGTTTACAAATACACTTAACATTTCTTCACACAGACTCAGCTAGCCAAAGTGGTCTCTACTACCACACAGAAGAAAACAAAGAAGAATGTGAGCAGTTTTCAAAGGTTTTGGTAGAGCAATAAACCTCTCAAGCTTTTGAGAGGAGGGACAAAAGAGAACAGAGAACAGGGCCTGATATTCCATATAAAGTGAGGAGAGATGGGCATTCCACTTTGCAAAGTAGAGAAGAAAAGCTTCAAGGGCATAAGAATAAAATGGACAAACTTAGTAAAAGGAATGAGAAAATAATTTAGAACTCTAAAATTATGAAGTTATATGTGAAAATGTACACATATCAGAAAAACCCAGGATACAAAGAAAAAGGTCTTGCTCTATCCTAGGCACAGCTTAGGTTTACATGGGGAACAAACCACTAAATTAAAATAATAATCAAAGCAACATAAGACACAAAGCATTCTGATAAACTAGAATCTTTATGTGCAAAGAAACAAACAGAAAATACCTAGGAATATCCTTATCAAGAAAGAGCCTGCAAAAACATAGAAAGGGCTTTTGTTAGTGCAGCAACAAAAAGGAGGGAACAAAGAAAAAGAAAAAGCAGCAGAAACAACAACAACAACAACAACAAAAAAAAAAACATGGAAAAGTCAAATTTGCTAATAAGCAAAGTGAATTCAAGTGGACAACTGACAGATATTGGGACCAATTTGATACAGCATTTATAATGACATGGTCCCTTTTCCTGAGACATTCAATTAAGGAAATGTAATGGTGAGGCGCTCACTGAGCAACTCAGTGAGACCCTGTCTCTAAATAAAATATAAAATAAGGCTGGGGATAAGGCTCAGTGGTTCAGTGCCCTTGGATTCAATCTTTGGTACCAAAAAAAAAAAAAAAAAAAAAAGATGATTTTAAACTTACCCACTGTGAGTAGTACATTTCTATTTCTGGCCCAAAACCTATTTATGCCAGTTGTGCTTATTATTATCTAATGAAACTTTAAGGAAATTAATAAAATATGAAGATAAAAATAATTCTTATTCTAAAAATTCAATAGTTTTTTAAAAATATCTTTTTAGTTGTAGATGGACACAATATCTTTTTATTTATTTTTATGTGGAGCTGAGGATCAAACCCTGTGCCTCACATGTGCAAGGCAGGTGCTCTATCACTGAGCTATAGCCGCAGCCCCTAAAAATTCAATAGTTTTGAGTTGTTTAAAAACAGCTGTTTAAATGAATTTCGAGCAAGATAAATGTAAAAGAAAGAGTAAAATTATAAGATGTTTAAGTGATAAAATGTTAATGAGATAAATGATAAAAAATTGAAAGGATTTTGGATTTAGATTTTCTTTATAGGCTTTCTAATTCCAGTTCTACCAAACTGAAAATCAGAGATGATGAGTGTGGTTTTATAAGAAAATAAACAGAATTCCAATAAATAGTTCTGCAATTAAAGAAAATGCCTTGGTCCTACAGCAAAAGCTTGATAAACTATATAAGTGTATATTCACTTAAGTTACAACAGAAAGACACCTTTAAACAATCTTTTCATTATTCTTGACTTTAGTCAACTTTTTTATTAACCAAATTTAAGGTTCTGTTATATAAGATAAGCTGCTTCTAAAGAAGGCAAATTAATTTCTTACAGCCTGATCTGCTGCTGGGCATGAGCCAAAGGACCTTTTCAAGCCAAGGGTGGTGGCACACGGCTATAATCCAGTTACTTGGGAGGCTAAGGCAGGACTGCCTAGTTTGAGGCCAGCCTTGGAAACTTAGCAAGACTCTGTCTCACAATTTAAAAAATAAAATTTTAAGTGAGGGTGGCTGGGGATGTAGTTCTGTGATGGAATGCTTCTAGGTTCAATCCCCAGTACCAAAGGGGGAATATAAAGAACCTTTCATGTTACTCTAACGCAGGTAAACTCAGCACAACCAGCATTTAAACTAATCACCATCATTCCCTGGTATTTTGATAAGTATCCTAAGAACATTTAAGATACATTTTTTAAAACTGCAAATAAAACAGTACTAGTGAATGCCAGCTGAATATCGACTATAAATAATGTCTAGCAGAAGAGAGAAAGCTATGTGGAGTTACTACTGACTTTAGGGAAGTGGGATTATTCACAGTTCTGCTCAGGGAGGGTCAATGCACACCCCCCTATCTCTCTATCCACTCCCCAGATACATACCTGCTTACACTTTCCTTCCTCCCTTTCCACAGTCCCTGCTAGCTAACCTTACATGCAAAAAAGCAAGCAGAAGTTTATTCCTTTTTTCTCTTTGTATGCAAAACTTCTCATTTCCCCCTCCCTCTTCCCAAATAGACACGAACAAGTTTTTCAGTAGATGGAGGTACAGAGAAGCCCTGTAATGACTAAGTCTATACTAGTAGTAGCAAAGACTGAATGTAAAAGGCTTTAATATTCCTTGGAGGACAAATTTCCATGCTACTCAGCAGTGAGAAATCTTTCTCCTCAGTAACCATTTCACCAGAAAATGTTTAGGTTTAGCAATAATTGATGGGCACTTTTAAACCCTTGGGTAGTATGCTGAGGTTTTTGGTCTGGTTTTTCTTTACCACTGTGGCAACATCCACTTAAAGTCTAAGGTAGGAGTAGAACATCCATTCTCTAAAGGTAAATGATCACACAATCCAATCACTTTTCTTTCTTTTTTGAGAGCTGGGTAGGCAAAGGAAGAAATAGGGAATTTTGAAGTGAGAAGTAAATTAGTTTCTTCATCCGCATGCATTTCTTAGGATGCCCCACCTGCTAGAGTTGTGGGAAGACTTCAGGTACTTGGCAGAGATGATATTCAGGGACAGGATGGCATCGATTGCAGCTTCATCCACCTCAGGTTTATTCCTAATCCGGCCTAACAGAAATAATAAAGAAACCAGAAGAAAGGCACATTAAAAACCAGACATTAACATATTAAGCCCAAAACAAACTTTCCATTCTCACAAAATTAACCCAGTCCTCCTAGGTCATTTTCACTGTAACTGGTTAAGCGCGGGGTTCTGAAGGCTTCTCCAGTCTGTCTTGTTTCCCCTGTTTTGCACATTTAGTCAGTTGTTGAAACCTTATTCCAGCCCTGAAACCTTATTCTTTGTTCAAAGAATTTTTTGTATTGATCTCAGTTTTTACTTCCAATATTGTTGCCCTGCTCACAAAGGCCATCTTCCCCTTCAATCTGGAACTGGCAACAGCCATTCATCTGGTCTCCTTGCAAGTCACATGTCCTCCATTCCAATGTGTTCTTTAGCCACTGACTTTATTCTACCACTTTCTTGCTCAAAATGCCACAACGCTGTTGTTTTAAATGCTATAAAACTAGGGGATACAGTACTCCACAGAAGATAGGAGCACAGCCTTGAGAGCTGGACAGCTGGGTTCAAGTTGTGGCTTTGACTCTCACTAGCTGTGAGGCTTAACACTCATCCTGATTCTGAGCCTCAGTTCATGACAGTAACAATTTCTCCCTTATGTGACTATTACTAAGATTAAATAAACTAATATTTTTAAAGCACTCAGAAAAGCACATGGTACCTGATAAACATTACACAAGAGTTTGTCAAACTAAACTGTAGAGTTCCTCAGAGAAGCCTGGGGGACCACTGCTTCTGGATCTTCCCCCTTCCTTTCTAATCTAAAAACATCTCTTTGTTTTGTACATTATTAATATGCCATAATAATATCATTTTGAGGGCCGGGGTTGTGGTGGTAGAGCACTCACCTAGCATGTGCAAGGCCCTGGGTTCGACCTTAGCACCACATAAATAAATAAAGGTATTGTCTCCAATCACAACTAAAAAAAAAAATTATTTATCTATCTATTTATTTATTTATTTTTAAATTTATTTTTCAGTTTTCGGTGGACACAACATTTTTATTTTATTTTTATGTGGTGCTGAGGATTGAACCCAGCACCCCACGCATGCCAGGCGAGCGCGTTACCGCTTGAGCCACATCCCCAATCCCCAAAAATAAATATTTAAAAAATAATTTTGAAAAAGCTTAAAAACCACTGCCTCAGATAAGAGAGTATAATCTCCTCCCAAGGGTTCTTAATCTGGTTCATGGGGACACAAACGGTCCGTAGATAGAACTCAAGCAGTCCATCAGCTTAGATGGAGAAAAAATTATATCTTTATTCTCACAAATAATTAACTGAAATTTGACATTTCCTTGAATTATGGAAGGCAATAAACCACATATGAATTAGCCAGTACCTATTGACTCTGTCCCCTGTATTAACCACAGATGTTTCCACATCAAACTGATTTTCATTCATCCATCACCACTGTGGAATTATGGTCATCAGACTCACGTTAGATCTTGTGATTTAATGCCTCAACAAAGAATACACTGTAGTGCAAATGTGTTTAATTAATCTTACCAGTTGTATTCCAGTATCATTAATTTCTTTTGTAGTCCTAAGTAATTTATTTTCTAAAGCTTTACCATTGCCAAATAGGTCCATGGCAACAAAGGTTCCTTGGACTACCATTCTGAAGCTCTTACTCTGTAGGATGCTTGATTTTTCCACTTTGGTCATGGATCTCTAGCCATTTGATGTTAGGCATATGCATGCTAGGCCTCTCTTACTTAAAATGTTTATGTTTAGAAAACAAATTCTCGGGGGCTGGAGATGTGGCTCAGCGGTAGCGCGCTCGCCTGGCATGCGTGCGGCCCGGGTTCGATCCTCAGCACCACATACCAACAAAGATGTTNTTGTGTCCGCCGAGAACTAAAAAATAAATATTAAAAATTCTCTCTCTCTCTCTCTCTCTCTCTCTCCTGTCTCACTCTCTCTTAAAAAAAAAAAAAAAGAAAACAAATTCTCTTGAATCCATTCAGGACCTTTCTCACAAAGTTAACCCAGTCCTCCTAAGTCGTTTTCACTGTTAACTCAATAATGGGAACTGAGAAACCAGAATTTCACTTTTGTGTATAGCCAGAAAATAACTGGGGATCAAACCTAGGACCTGAAGCATGCTAGCGAAGTGCTCTGCCACTGAACTACACTCCTAGCCCTGAAGGGTTTCAAACTCAAGGACTCTATCTTCCTCATATACTGTGTTCTCTATACTGGAGAACACAGAATATTACCAGTGTCCCAAACAGAGAATAATGACATGTCTAAAAAGCCAGGTTTGTGCTGCAGCTATAGTTCAGTGATACAGCACTTGCTAGGCATGTGTGAGGCACTGGGTTCAATCGTCAGCATAACATAAATAAAGAAAAATAGATAAATGTATTTGAAAATAAATAAATAAACAAATAAATAAATAGCCAGGTTCTATTCTTAGCTGATGTATACTTACCTACCACCAGTTCACGGACATCTTTCCAGTGGAGTTCACTCCCCTTCTCATGGATAATGGTCACTGTGATTCTTCTCTGGATACCCTGGGTAATAGAATAGGGTTGTGAGTTAGCTGGGGCAATCTATCATTTCCTCTTATTTGTTGTTTTCTGAATTGTATGGCATAGGAATGGGCAGGAAGGAGAAAGATGGAAAAGTAGGGGAAAATCTCTCCATGTTATTATTCTAAACAAAGTGGGGTGAGCCAGGAACTGAGCAATATTCAGATTCCGATAAGGTTTCAAGAGAGATGCCATGATTGTGTGTCCCAACTATGGGACTCCCTGCTCCATGCCCAAGCAGTTTTTGAGCACTGACTGAATTCACTTTTGATTTACCCAAGTGAGATGTAAATTGAAAAATCAGATTTAAGTCTATCACAACTTTCATCCTCTACCCATCATCAGAGATTATGGCTGTGAAAGCACAGGGCTTCTAAGCATTATGGTAAGTATATGAAATCACAAGGAGCTTCACAAAATAATAGTAAATGAATGAAACAAAATCCTTTTATGAAACAGCTATTCTAAAATATATATAAAAGCAAGGGTATATGTAAGCCAAGGCCTTAAAACACACACACACACACACACACACAAGAAAAACAATTTGTGAGCCCTGGGTTCAATACCCAGCAACCATAAAAAAAGAGAGGATAACATTCTTCCTCTCAGCTCCCTATCCCTGAAATAGAGATGAAAAGCTGAGAAAAATAAAGAGTTCTGAGGGGAAGGAAAGGGGAAATACTGGGAAATGATGCTGACCAAATTTATATTATGTGTCTGTATGAATATGTAACATGAATATCACTATATTATTACAAAGCATTGATATGGAAAAAAGAACAGAAAGAAAGAGAAAGAGAGAAAGAGAAGGAGAGGGGAAGGGAGGAAGGGAGGAGGGGGGGTGTTGTGTTTATTTTTTTTAATTATTATTTTTTAGTTGTAGTTGGACACAATACCTTTATTTATTTATTTTTATGTGGTGCTGAGGCCTGAACCCAGGGCCTTGCATGTGCTAGGCGAGTGCTCTACCGCTGGGCCACAACCCCAGCCCCCTATTTCTTTTGATAAATTATTTGGTTCGGTCCTAGGTGTTTCCCCCTGTCTTCGTACCTGGTGAAGCAAAAATGTCCCCTGGCAGGGCAGGCCTGCTGTATGGTCAACCACAGCTGGGATATACCTATAAAAATAGAAATGCAAAAAACAGAAGTCAGTACTATCTCATCTACAAGGCCTTCCTTAACTCTCTTAAGACATTCTGGCTGTGAAAGCATAGAATTTCCAAACATCATGAAAAGTATATAAAAATCACAAGGGAGCTTCACAAATGATAGTGATTGAAAAAATAAAACTCTTTTTTGAAATAGCTATTCTAAAATATATACAAAAGCAAGCATATATATAAACTAAGATCTGAGGAAGAAACATCAAAATAATAATCGAAGAAAATAAAACTTTTTTGAAATAGCTATTCTAAAATATATATAAAGCAAAGCTATGTTTAAGCACTGTAGCCCCAGTGATCTTTGTTTTTCACATTTAATCACAAAACCATTGGCCTTTACAACCCTTTCCACATGTCTATGGTGTCTCATCAACTTTACTAGACTGAAATACTCAAAGGACAGTAACATTTTTTGGTCTCACCTCTGGCCCTCACATAAGAGTCCAGTAAATACTGTATAAATGCAAAGCAATTGAAAGAGATAATTAAGATCCAAAAAGCAACTAACTGGTAGAAACCAGCACTGTAACTATATCTTCCTTACAGTGCATTAATGATCTGTCCCCTGATAATCTTCAAAGTGACACCACTGCTGACAACCACATACAGGATCTCTTCAAATAGGAGAGTCAAATATTACATTTCCTAATTTTGAAACACTTTGCTCTATATTAAAATTTAGAAAGTTGGACTTACTCTCCTGTAGGTTCCAGTTCACTGATCTCAAACCAAACTAGGAGGTCATACTTGCTCATGCTTTGGCCAAGGCTGGTTTTGCTCATGGTGTTTAATTTGGTGGCTGGAACTTTAAAAAAAAATTTTAGAAAATATCAAATCTTGTCCAAAAGCAAAAGCTTAAGCTTTTCTAATATTAGCATTAAAGGACACACTTTAAAAAAAAAAAAAAAAGCAGCAGGTCAGAAGACAGATTTCAAAGATGACCCAATATTAACCATATTAGTACCTCGAGAACAAGAAAAATGGAGAGAATCTTTTTCCTTCTTAACAGACTGTCCTCAAAGATAAGAAAACAGATTTTTGCAAAATAAATGTGCTCACAAAATCACTAAAAACCCTTCAGTTCTAGAATCTTATTTTGTGGCATGGTATCACTGTAGAATGGCAATAGAGACAGTGCTTAAAAAGGATGTWGGGGGGAACTTCACACATCATGAGGCTCCATGGAAGCTGGAGAGGTGAAGTGAAGATCTATCCTTCAACCCACAGCTTGCAGATCTTCCTGCACCCAAGGGTCACCAAGGATCTTAAGGATGGCAAAACCTAGGCCATGTCCCCAATAATCTACATCAGTCTATGGACTTCCTCCTTAGGATTACAACATGCAGACAAATCTGGAAACCAGTGGTCTAATTTGTAAATACAGGAATCTCTAAATGACCTGTTACATGTTTCCTTCAGATTTAAATTCCAGGTTCCTAATGGTTTTGATGCTGTGCAACTCTTAATTTTAAGTTGCTTAACCTCTGTCTCCTTGATGTATAAAAAGCACATAATAATATTTAGTCTGCTACCATGAAAAGGTATCATAAAGCCCCACTAACATAATAGATAGGAAGAGCTTTATGAATCATATGTGCATCACCCCAGATGAATTTCACATGCACTGCTGATGCTGGTGAGGAAGAAAATAGAATTATGGTTCTGGCAGTCATCTGAGGGTCAGAAAGAACAACCACAAGTATTTTAAAAAGCAAACAAAGAGTAGGGGTACAGCTCCGTGGTATAGCACTTGCTTAGCATGTGCAAGGCCCTGGGTTCCAACCCTAACCTCAGGACTGGAAACACAATAAAACAAAACAAAACCAACTATTAGTAAAAATCTTCAAAATTAAAACTACTACTTCAAAGAATCCAAACAAAAAGTATCAGGAGCGCCTCACCCCTAGGGTGATGTGAAAGAAGCACAGGCAGCAAAGGTGCTTCCTAAAAGCTCTCTGAAAGAAACATGGTGTGATCTTGACAATATGGTGAACTCTACTTTCAGCTCAAGGAGCAAAAAAACATGGATGTTTTCATACACGGTGAGCCAGGTTTCAGGACAAGCCCTTGAGTTGGTTCTACATCTAAGACAGCTAATTTAGCTACTAACCATCTCGTTTGGGTACCCTCTCGCTCTGGCAGCTGGGAACTGGCAGAAAAAGAAAAGGCGGCACTGGGTCAGCCTCATTCTGGAAGGTGGCAACAGCAGAGGAGGCAAGAACATTGGCGTGCTCAGAAAACATGTCCAATACATGCACATTCACATAGCCAGACACAAGAAACCGAATCAGCTCAATCTTTCTCTCGTGGTCTGAAGGCCGATGAAGATGAGGAGTATAGAGGGTGGAGAATGAGAACAGGGTGGGATGGGAATTTGACAAGTGGGCAATGAGGAAAAAGGACAAAAATAAAGAAAAATCAAACAATATAAATGAGGAGGAACAAGTTCTGGTATTGTACTGCACAGTAGGGTGATTATAGTTAACAATAATGTATTGCATATTTCAAAATAACTGGAGAGAACTCATAAGTATGTACTTATTATGTAATCAATCAAGAATAAAATAAAACAAAAAACCCAAGATAAATGAACATGCAGAATAAGTTTAATATGCAAAGAAATATCCAGTGACTGATAGTTTGGGAGAGTTACAAATAAAGCAGAGATATTTAGGAAGAGAGAGATTATAAAAATCTGCAGTAAGACCAGAGAACTGGCAAATACAGAGACATATTGCTTTTTTACTTCTTTTTTTCCTCCCCCAGTACTATGAACTGAACCCAGGGGCACTCTACCATTGAACTAAATCCCCAGCCTTTTTTATTTTAAGAGAGTCTTGTAAAGTTGTTGAGGCTGGCCTTAAACTTTCCATCCTTCTGCCTCAGCCTCCCAAAGAGTTGAGATTACAGGTGTGCATCCCCACACCCAGCTTACTTGTAGATCAGGAACCAAAAATTTTAGCTCCCGTAGATGCGTACAAGAGAAGCAGGAATATATAAGGATGCACAGAAAAGGAGGGATGTGATTGGTTTCTGAAATCATTTAGAATAAGGATGTGTTCACACAGAGAATATCAGGCAAAGAATACAGATGCTCACCTGGCCTGGAGAGTGGCATGGGTGGAGGGAAGAATCGTCGAGAGGGCTGGGGTGGACTGTAAAGACAGAAATACAAACTAATTCAGGACCAAAAAGAATCAGATGTTCATTTTAATGGCATGTTTAATTCCCTTTAAGAAAATGAATTTTCTACATTTTCAACTCTGGCATATCATTTACCACATATAATCCCACACAGTGAACAGACTAATGTATTTTTTAAAAAGCCCTCCATAAATCACAGTTACTAAATGAGATAAAAAAAATTCACCTGTTAACACTGACATTGATACTATCAAAAAAGCCCCTCTAGAGCTGGGCTGTGACTCAGAAGYAGAGTGCTTGCCTAGCATGCATGAGGCACTGGGTTGGCTCCTCAGCACCACATAAAAATAAAATAAAGATATTGTGTTCACCCACAACTAAAAAATAAATATTAAAAAAAAAGCCCCTCTAGTTGCTCTTCTCATCAATCTGTTTTTTGGTACTTGGGATTGAACCCAGGGGTACTGAACCACTGAGCCACATCTCCAGCCTTTTTCATATTTTTTATTTAGAGACAGGGTCCCGCTAAATTGCTTAGGCCTTGCTAACTTGTTGAGGCTATTTTTGAACTTGTGATCTGCCTATCTCAGCCTCCGAAGCTGCTGGGTTATAGGTGTGTGACACTGTGCCCGGCTTCTTATCAGTCTTGACTCCACTTAAAGAGTTTCTGCTTTATGAATTTGAGGGTTGTTAGAACAATTATATACAATTTCCATGTTATAATCCTAAGACCCCCAACTTTCTACCATATTTGTCATGGTTTGGATATGAGGTGTCCCCTGAAAGCCACTGCTAATGCAGGAATGTTCAAAGGTAAAATGATTGGATTATGAGCTGTGACCTCATTAGTCAATCCTAGTTTGAAGGATTGACTAGGTGGTAACTGTAGACAGGTGGGCATGGCTAGAGGATGTAGGGCATGCTGTGGAAGGGTTCATCTCTGCATCCCCTTCCTGCTTTTCTGTTTCTTTGCTTTCTGACCTTGCATCATGAGCTGAGCAGCTTTTCTCTGCTTCCATGATGTGCTGCCTCACCTTGGGCCCAGAGCTATGGAGTTGGCCATTTATGGACTGAGACTTCTGAAATAGTGAGCCCAAATAAAACTTTTCCTCCTGTAAGTTGTCTAGTCAGGTATTTTGGTCACAGCGACACAAAAGCTGACTAAAACACTATTCAAAGTCTCTTCCTACAAAAGGATGGCATTCAAAGTCATCTGGGGGCAACATTCAATTTGCTCTAACATTAGTGATTAGGGAGCTAGAAAAACGTAGTGAGATTTCTAAAAAGAAAACATAAGGTAATATATAAAACTATTATTTACTCATCTTYAACCCTCAAAAGATTTCTTCCTTTCCTGTAACTGAGGAATAATCATCAAAACAGTAACAACAAAAGTCTTTGCTCATCTGGTCCAAACCTGTTAAGATCCTGTCCTTGCAGATGAAGTGGGTGCTGCTGATAATGCCCAAAAACTTCAAATACAATCGGCTTGGTTTTGATGTAATCCACAAATGATTCAGTGACCTCCACTGCAATCTAATAAGGAATAAAGCCATACAAGATTAGAGAGAGATTTATCATAAGAAAAATACACATTTTTGCACTTCAGTGAGGGCATTAGTACTATTAGGCTCCCAGCATGTGTTGGGTGTTTTGCTCTACAGGCCACCTCCACCAAAAGTCAGGGGCTCCCTCTTCTTTTCATTCTAAGTTAACTTTAACAAGCTCCAGATGTTCAAGACTGTCTACAATGTCCCCCAACTGGTGACCTTGTTGTCCTTCACACACTTATGTTTCAGCTCAAACTCATCTGGGGCTCCTTCTACCTGCTTTCTCCTCTCTTGTGCCTGAGGGCTGGCCCAGGCGGTGCACTGCCAGGAAGGCCCTTCCCATATCTCCACACATCTTAGTCATTCCTATACTTCAAGGCCCCATTCAAACAGTAATATCAATAAGAAAAACACATACTGACTGTAGACTACGAGCAAGGCAAATCTGACATGACTTCTTATTTATAATACATCCATCATGAAGCTCCTACCTCTCTCCTCCATTTAACCATGCTCCCCAACAAAGTTAACATATCTTTGCATACAGAAGAAACATTTTCTTTCTCCACTCTCACTGCATTTAATAAATGTTTTTCTCACACATCTTCATGTTCTACTACTGCATTTTATCTAGTCTCTCATAATTGTAAGCTCCTTGGGGGGCATCTATATGACTCATCTGCATTCCCCAAACATATCAAACACAATTCTATGCATAGCAGGCAATCAATATTTATCACACAAATATGTTTTCATATGTATAAATATAAAAATAAAATAGTGTATTTTGGGCTGGGGATGTGGCTCAAGTGGTAGTGCGCTCATTTGGCATGTGTGAGGCACTGGGTTCAATCCTCAGCACCACATAAAAAAAATAAAATAAAGATACTGTGTCCACCTAAAGCTAAAAAATAAATATTTAAAAAATAAAAATAAAATACTGTATTTTGAGCTAGGTGCAGTAGCATATACCTATAATCCCAGCAACTCAGGAGGCTGATGCAGAAGGATGGAAGGTTCCAGGCCAGCCTAGTCTACTTAGTGAGATTTTTGTCTCAAAATTTTAAAAAAGGGCTGTTGTGTAGCTCATGGTAGAGTACTGTTGGGTTTAATTCCGAGCATTGCATGTGCATGGGTGTGTGCATATGCACATATATACACAAGTATATTTGGTGTTCATTTGTTCTTCCCCTGGAGTTGTCTTCCTCTCTTCCTTTATAGAGTGAACATGGTTAGCAAGAAAAAGCAAAGCAGCATCCTGTAGTAGTGAAAATCCTGAAGGCTAGAGCCACATTCTGTGGTATGTGGTGTGTGTGTGTGTGTGTGTGTGTGTGTGTGTGTGTGTGTGTTTTCTTGGAATTGTACTCAGGGGTGCTCTACAACTGAGCTACATCCCTAACCCTTTTTATTTTCAGACAGGGTCTTGCTCTCATAGTTCTCCAGGCTTGCCTTGAACTTGCGACCTCTTACTCCATCCATGAAGAAGGCTGTAAGGGGCCCCAGTGAGATAATCACAACATCCGATAAAACGGAAACAGACAGAATCTTAATTTAACCACAGAACATTTTTAATTTCTTCTACATTATTTGCAACCAAATAATATAAATATACATGGGTTTTAAGGACAATGTATTAACTTAAATAAAACTGATATTAAACAGGCTTATTTTTATAGGACAGAAACTTAAAACAACTCGGGCATTCAAATTGATAGAAGATCTCATTGGTAGACCAGCTCTCACCCCACCATTGTAACGCAGACAAGAGGCTGGCAGCTCCCTCCCTGAGGATTGCCTCACCACTTTGGCCACTCCCTCTATTGTCCATTATCTCATCTAAGTGCAAGATTAGCAGGGCCAGCAGCAATGCTTCCAATTATCGCTGCACATTGGATCCTTCCTCAGCCAGTAAAGCCAAGGCACCCCAAACCCAGGATATGCTTGGCAAAAATGTCAGATCACTCACATTCTGCACATGATAAAAGCCCAGGGGACTTCCTCTGCCATTATTTTTGAGGGGTTCGGTGGAGAATGCTTCATCATGGCGATGCAAGAAGCTTAATAAAAAGATAAAACAAGCAAATATTGTATTAAACAGTTTCATTAGGATCTCTGTTTTAAAAGCCCAACTTGGATCTGATGGTAAGAGCCATCCTACTTAAGTAGATTCTTTAACTGAGCAAAAATTATTTACATTTATTTCCTTATCAAGATCATCTTCTGGGCAGGTGGTGGAGCTCAGTGAAACAACATTTGCCCATCATGTGCCAGCCTCTGGGTTTGATCTCCAGCACCAGAAAACAAACAATAATTTCCAATATCACACAAATAACATTTTAGATTTTATTTGAAAAAATGAATGAAAAATTAACTGACCAAGATAATTGACCCACTTAACTGGATGTATACGCAAGAATGCATTAGAGAATTCGAAGTGAGTTCAACAAACTCCTGTTCCCTTGTTGAAGTTTTTGTTGAAAATAAAAACTACGGGATCATTTTGTGTAGCAAAAATTGGCAGACTTGAGTTTCCATAAGGTAATATGAAAGTCTGTATATAGTGTAGCTGCCTGGGAGTCTCTAACACTCAGATAAGAGTAAATTCCAATATCACCTCTTCCAGAAGGTCTTTTCTGACTTACCCTGGCAGTGTTTTGTTCCTAGGAACTGTTTTTCCTTAACCTGATTTCACTCCTTTTTATATGCCTATTTTCCCAAAAGGCAGCAAATAGGGCTTAACACAAAGAAAAATACTCCAAAAATACTCGCTGAATCATCGGACTATGTTTATTTATCTTCATAAATAATAAGATTTTATTGTTAGTCTCCCTATTATTAGTCTGAAATTAAAATTAGAGAATTAAAGAATCCCTATCACAGATTTATTGCCACATAGAACTATCCATCAGAAGGACCCTCAGGATGGGACAGTGTGTTCAGCATGTTTGAGGTCCTGGGTTTAATCCCCAATGTGTGTGTGTGTGTGTGTGTGCGTGTGCCCGTGCCCGCGCACGCGCATGTGCGCGAGTGCACGCACACACACTCCCTGACCCCATTGAGAAAATAAAAAGGGGAAGGGGGAAGGAAATACTTTGAATAGGGGGACAGAGAGACCAGTAGGATGAACTCTTTATCTTCCAAATTAGTTCATAGTGTGTGAGTAGCAATGTGCTCTTGACAATTGCTCCAAATCACTGATGCCACGCTTTCCCAGTATTCCATGTATCCTTATATTTTCTTTCTTCTCATTACTCCTCTCTCTCTCTCCTTCTTTTCTTATCCTCCCCTCCATTTTTTTCTTCTCCTGATCATACATTATACCTGCCAGAGGCCCTCTGTGGGCTTTAGTGGACCTGATCTGCTGTCGTGGGTGCTGCAGATATCCAGGGTCCCAGTGCTGAGTCAGGACCTCAAGCCACTGCTGCAGAGCTGCACCTTCCCTACTCAAACCAGTGGAGAGATGAGGAAAGCCCAGAAAAACTGAGTCTTCTCAGACCACTGGTCCACATGCTCTCAACTCCTGAGCTAATATAGGTGGAGGTGCTGCTCTTTTGGGTTTGAGGACAAAGGGCAACATATTCCTACATTCCTAGTGTCATTTCAGAAATCAGTTAACCAAACAGATCTGTTTCATAAGATGTATCACTTTTTCTTATTAAAATAATAGTGAAAGTTGCCCAAATCAGATTCATCTTAGCCATGTCCATCCTACCCTAAATTTGAGGCTCTTAGTGAAAACACACAAAATAGCTGAAATCAACTGGCTGGATAGTATTTCAATAACACTCATGAGTTTCAGCAAATGATACTGGTGACTTACTATGTAGTGATCACATTTAATTCAAGACTTGGCTGAAACACACAAGCTTGGAGCATCCAAGCTCCATCATCGGGATGCCCAGGAAGGCTGGGGCACATATTGAGTGGCAAGGGACAACAGAACTCTAAAGCAGTCTTTGGGTAGTACCAGCGACAAACTGTGGGCTTGAGGTTTGAATGGGTCAGACTTCATTTTCTTATATAGCAGCCCATATTGAAAAATATATGATGTTAAGAGGAATGAAAACTTTAGATTCACAAAGTGTTTTCCTGGGAGGTCTTGAGAAGAAAGCACCTATAGGCTAGGGTTCCTGAAAGTCACAGGATAGAAAAAGATTCTGAGTAAATGAGAAATGAAACCACAATCTTCTCTCCACACTGGCTTTTCTCAGTTGATACAATAATAGTTTACTCCTCTTTAGAGATAATTCACTGATTTAATCCTTGTTTATTAAGAATACATTTCATGGGCTGGGGTTGTGGCTCAGTTGTAGAACGCTTGCCTAGCACAGGTGAGGTACTGGATTCGATTCTCAGCACCACATAAAAATAAATAAATAAAATTAAATAGGGACTGAGGTTGTGGCTCAGCGGTAGAGCACTCACCTAGCACATGCAAGGCCCTGGGTTCAAACCTCAGCACCAAATAAAAATAAATAAAATGAAGGTACTGTGTCCAACTACAACTAAAAAAATAAATATTTAAATAAATAAATAAAAATGAATATTTAAATAAATAAATAAAGGTTAAATTCTTAAAAAAAAAAAAAAGCAGAAGACGACAGACATTTCATCATGAAGAACACTAAAAACAGCTGGGGCTGTAGCTCAGTGGTAGAGTGCTTACCTATCATGCATGAGGCACTGGGTTCGATCCTCAGCACCACATTAAAATAAGCAAATAAAATCAAGGCATTCTGTCCACCTAAAACTACCCCCCAAAAAAAATTTAAAAAAAGAAAAAAAAGAACACTAAAACCACTAAGTACGCTTATCTGGATCAGACTCTACATTCTTGGTACAGGAGGACAGTTCACAACAGAATGGTCCAGGAGGATACATGACTCACTTCTCCCCATGAGGAACCCTGTATTATTCCAGTGAAGGTTTCTGATTCCCACTCTCATTATGAGTGAACAAAGTGTTTTCCTTTGGAGACAGTTTCTCAAGAGTACTAATATCTCCACAAGTGTAAAGCTCTCTACTAGAGGACATCTTCTCACTTAACAGCTGGCTAAATAGGCAGAACAAAGGGTGGCTTACTTGAACTGACAGAAGATATCTGCATACTCTGGAAGGATCCCACTGGCCTGCAACACTGTTACTCGGAAAGTGAAGGCACTGCCCAGTTTCAGATGATTGCCAATCTCTTCTGAAAACCCTTCCATAACCATCTTTCCATCCAGCAAAGTGCTTGATTTCAAATCTAAAGAGGGTCAAGGGAACACACACATGGGTCAAATAATGTGAAGAAGAGGGAGTTCTTTCCATTACTAGTTGATGAAAGCAACTATGTCCCATATTTTCCCCTCGTAGACAAGTCCCAATCATAGTAAACTCTGTCTACGTACCCAAGTCATTCGTTCGACTGATTTCTTCTGGAGGAGTGATGACCTCAGAACTCTGACCCTGTCCTTCCACAATCCTCAGCTCCTCCAAGGATAGACCAGAACGAGTCATTGCGACTGAAGAAAAGTCACTCTGAAAGCAAGGCAGCAGGGGGTGGGGGTGAGTGTATATGAGAACACAGAAAAAACACATTTTCCTATTTTCTTTCTTATGTCTATATACCCAACAAATAATGACTGGAAAACTATATGGATTAAGAACTGTCTAAGAAAAGGCAATACTACAGTAATACAAACGCCAGGCCTCTGCAGTTGTTAGACATAGACCATATACTACTGAGCAACTCAGGGGTAATCAGCCTCCTATACTTTTAGTTCTAGGCAGGAAAACTGGTCTCCAATGCGGGACATTTTCCTGATAAAATCATCTACTTCCCCTCTTCCCTCAAGGTGTTTCTTCTTACCAAAGGTTTCTCACCTGATTAAAGTACTCGTTATCAAAAGATATTTTAGCTGTTCCAGATTGTCGAATTCCAGAGCCATAATCGGGAGCTTCTTCATCCGCTAAGTAGAAAAACATCAGCAAGGATCAAATGAGACAATACATGGGGAGAGGAGATGTAACTCCTACTGGATTATAAAACAAAAAGACAGTCCTTTTGCATAAGGACAAATGACTCTAAAATAATAAAATGACACTGGCTGTTTCCAACTTGACTCATGTAGATTTACCACACTTAGCTCAAGTGAGACTACTTAGTAAAGAATCAGTTTTATCACTGAGATGGTTTAAATATCACACTTAGAAATACTAACCCTTTCCCATATTGGCAAGATTGTGTTCAATAACACAAAACAAATATTTGAAAATATTACACTGCACTCTACAAACTCAATATTGGTGATTGTGTGATAGGTTTCCATGGGAAAAAGACTGAAGTGACAGTCACTAAGGCAAAGCATTTGGAAGTTAAGACAGAAAAATACAGGAAAGGGCCACATTCTTTCCTCAGAATGTCAGCTGGATTACGGAAAAGTGAAAAGTGGTCCATGTGCTACAAAATAGCAGCCAAAGAAATGTCTACTAGAAGTATCCTGAAAGAAAATTTAGGTAAGAAAAAGTTCTAAAAATCTTTCATCACTTCTGAACCAGTTAAGATACATTATTTAAAATGTCAATAACTTAAAGTCATTCCAAGAGCTTATCTTCAAGTTAAAGGAAATCTTTTTACGCCAATATTCCAAAGTAGTAGTAGACCAGACAAAACAAAATCTATTTTTTATATTTATTTTTTTAGTTGTAGTTGATACCTTTATTTTATTTATTTATTTTTATGTGATGCTAAGAATTGAACCCAGGACCTCGCTCGTGCTAGGCGAGCCTCTACCGCTGAGCCACAACCCAGCCCACAAAATCTATTTATGATATGTGGGGACAAGAGCTAGAAAGGAAGTAAGAAAGGCCTTCATAATGGATAAACATATCACTATTTGGGTTTGACTGAAGCAAGGCCCATATAGAGCCACCTCTGTCTCCAGGCAAGAAATCACAGCCTTTACTGCAGAGTTGGTGACCTACCTGCAATGGCCTGTACAGCCACTCGCAGAAATCCCCGCACTTCCCCCTTCTCACTGACGATGGCCACCCTGTGAATCAGGGGCACAGGATACAGCAGATTGCTCAGGTATACAAATGCCCTAGAGACAGACACCAGGAAACAAACATCAGAGCATCCTACAGAGGGAGAGGCTGGCTTTCAGCCTCAGTGAGAGTAGCTTCCTGAACCTGAGCTGGCTTCTGCACCTTATCTTAAGATCATTTCTTGGTTCTATCCTCTCAAACTGCCTCCAGCTGCCTTTTTAGCCCTGATGACATGTAAAAAAAATTCAAACACTGGACAAAGTGCTGACAAAAACCAATCTAGTTCAAATTACTCTCTGTAAGAACTACACTGTAGGTAGAAGAGTAGCAATTGAAAGTAGACTTCCAAGATACTGCTCTGTGAATACTGCTGGTGGGGTGAGAATCCCATGAAAGAAATTAACCTTTAAACATAAGGAATTACCAAGAGTTCTAAGGTTTCCCGATAGAGAAAACAGAAATCAGGAAACAAAAACCAGGGAAATGTGACTGAAATATGATTAATAACTAAAATAAATTTCAAATCTCAGTATTATGSGTCTTTAGTTTATTCTAAGGACTCTTTTATCTTCAGGTAAGGTGACTGATAAGGTAAGAGAGGCAGACACATGTGGGCAAAGACTGTGCAGCCAGAAATTTCTGAGTAGCAAGCTTATAGACTACATGGGCATCAAGATACATGCTAAGGGGAGAAGCATAAAGCTGGTCCCTACAGGGTTTGCTTTTACTCCTAGAGTCCAAAACCTAAGTCAGAAATGCATAAATAAAAGGTAAATTACAGATCTAACACTTTATATTTCAAACAAACTAGCCAATTCTGTCACATCACCACTCTTTTTTTCCTTCTCTTTATTTTGTAGCTATTGATTTAAAAAAAAAAAAAGGCAATAAAAACTGAGTGTTTTTTCTAATCAGTAGAAGGGAAATAGAATCTAGTTCCTATAGTTACTCCTGTCTTCCCACTTGGTATATGTTGCTCTTTGAACATAAGACAAAAGACAAAGAATAAACATTTGCATCAGGAAACCAAACACAATGGAACGTGACACATGTGCCTGTCTGCTGCTTTTCCTGCTGTTTTTACAACAAAGCTAGAAGGATGAAGGAATGGACAGATACTTGGGATTTCAACTCAAAATAATGAAAACAGACAACATAACAGAAAAACAAATGTTAATTAAAGTTTAAGAATATAAATGAAATATGAAAGAAAACAAAAATAACTGCAAATGAACATTAAATCAGATCCTGATGTCTACTTCCCTTTCAGTCTGCTCCAAAGCAGGAGAGGGGGCAATGCTGAGATAGAAGGTTAAAGCTTTGCTATGCATAAATTTAGGAATGAAAATGCATCTAAAAAGATTACAAACAAGACCATCAAGCACCAACTTCTAGGAGAGTCTAGAAGACTAAGAATTTGGCATATGGAACCAAACCGATCCTCTCACTTCTGAATCACCATACATAACAACTTCCTCTCTTGATGGCACTTCCAACATGGAGGACATTAAGAGCCACTACACACATGCCAGGTGGGGCCACCTGGAGGCCGATCTGCACTCACTGTCCGACTCGTGCCTTTGACTTAACATCTTTGGGTCTTATTTTAAACACCGTTTTTTTTTTTTTTTTTTTTTTTTATAACAGGACCCCAATGCTATATGATCTGAGCAATACACACAATTCTTTAATCACTGGTAAAATTTACATTTGTGTGATTGCTTAAGTGTCTCTATCACCTACCAGACTCTAAGTCTGTGATGACAGGAACCATTTGCTTTCCTTACTACTGTCTGAAGAGGGCTGGGCATAAGGTAAATACACTCAATAAGTATCCAGTGAGTGAACATCTATCTACATATATAAAAGAACAGCAAAGTGATATGTCATCTACCTTTAAGTAGAAGTAGAAGGTTTCTCAGAAAAATGAGAACTCTCAAGAGGCAGAGAGGCAAAGCAATTCAACTTCATATTGGGTTAATTTTTTCAAAACTGAATTTATGATGGATATTAACTATATATAACATGTTTGATCCCTAACTATACTTAATCTGTCACCTTAAACATAGCTATTCAAAACAGGGGCCACCGTTTTTTAGTATAGCTAATTGTATTTTATGGACACATCACAATAAAGTAAGATTGGAGCTCACATTAAAGAGCAGAATTTCCTTCGTGCCTATGGCAATGGCTATTCCAAATGTGGAAGCATTGAAGGCATTATTGTAGATGTTCCTTTTCAGAAAAGAGAATCTATAATTCTGTGATAGGAACACGGGCATCAGTTCTGACACGGAAATGCACACTCACTAAAAGCCCTTGTCATGTTAACAGGACACAACCCATAGCCCAAATCAGTGCCGTATAAAACTTCTCCTTTCAAGTTTTTTAAACTGGAATTTTTATAATTACTCTGCTTTTCTGAAAGTCCTTATACTTTGACCTAGCAGACTGAAGAACAGGGAGGAGAGAAGTTATAAAAGATGTATTACGAGAAAGTTCTATGAAGTTACATCGAAAATAGAAACAAATTTGTCAACATAAAGATAAGAAAAATCAGTATAATTATGGTGATACAGAAAGAATGTTTGTTAGGTACTTAGAGAGGCCACAGAATAATCATCTTTGCCCATTTTCAACCCTGAAGACTAGCTTACATATTTTGTATTTCATCCCAAGTTATGATGGATGGTTCGTAACATCCCAGCATGCCAAGAGAATAGCTAAAGGGACAAGCTCTTTTAATTTTGATATAAAGATTCATCAGAGGTAGCCACAGCCAGGAAACAAATGTATAAATGGAATTTCATAAGAAAATGGATTTTTTTTKGGGGGGGTGGTAACCAGGGATTGAACTCAGGCACTTAGCCACTGAGCCACATCCCCAGCCCTTTTCTGTATTTTATTTAGAAACAGAGTCTCACTGAGTTACTTAGCTCCTCATTGAGGCTGACTTTGAACTCACAATCCTCCTGCCTCAGCCTCCCAAGCCACTGGGCTTACAGGCATGTGCTACCTAGACCAGTTAGAAAAATGAAAATTTTCAGAAGTGAATTGTATTTATAATTATGTGCCAATAGGGGAAAACTGATCCTATGAATCACAAAAACAGGAAAAAAGGTACTCCTCTTACACATCCAATGACTACTAAACAACACTGTTATACATTTTCTTTGCAGAGGAGAATAACTGAAGGCAAAAATGAGAGCTATCCTTCATTTTACTGACGGATTTTTCACACACACACACCCACCCCCCAGTCTTTTCCCTTTTTTTTGGTGGTAAGAATATGTTCTACCAGTGTGCAACACCCCACGTCCCCCTGTCTCTTTCTGGCAAGGCAAAGTTAGGTCTAAGAATCTGGAAACTCAAACAAATGTAAAGTCAATTCCTGAGCCACAGTATCACAAATATTTACATAAAAATCAAATTAAGAGTTGACTGCCTTACACTTATATTTTATATCTGATATGAAATATAAAACTAGAAAGAAAATAATGTACATATCTTAACCCAGTTAATATCCACATTAAGCAGGATTCTGACTTCAGTTTTCTAAACAACTGATTAAAAATACAAACGCTTCTAAGTAGAAATCTTAACCAGGATATTCATTTTGCCAGTATAGATAACACAATACGAAAGATGAAAGACTGGCAAGACTCTTTCCTACCAACTCATTTTATATGTGAAAATCCAACAGGCCTCAATTTAAGTAGCTTGTATTAAGTAGAGAGAAGACTTCTCCTGACCAGGCCATTTCTCCTAAAACTGTCCACTCCTCACAGTACAGTGGTGTAGAACACAAGCAAACAGCTTTAAAGCTGTGCAACTGGCTTTGTTCATTGAGGCCAAGTTCATGGGTAGAAACTAGTTTCTAACTTCCAACTCTCTTGGAATAGGATGGATATGTGCTGAAGGATACAGAGAGCCACAGAGTAAACGAAAGCATTATTATCCCATTATCTGTATACATTTTTCTCACTTTTGGTATAAATCAGCTTTTCTGAGATTCTAAGTATCTGTTCCAGGTGACATACCAGTAGAAAACAATATCCATGGGTATATAATCCCATTGTGTTTATTCATGGAGAAACAACTTATAATGCCCCTTCCCTATTATAAAGTCCAGAGACTGTCCAATATTATGACTCAAACCTGTAACTGAGGTTTTCATTTTTATCAAGAAGCTTTTCTTTCTTCCCTTTCCATTATCTTCTACAATAGTTATGAAACTCCCACCTGGTAGGTAACACCTCTGTCTAATGGGTCAGGAGACTTGCTGGACATCAATGTTTAGATAACTTGTGTTTACCACTTAACAGTGAAACAATTCCCTTATTTTTAAAGGGTTCAGCCATGAAGTTAAATTTTATATTTTAAAAACTGAACATACTTTTTAGTTAATCCAGTTATTTCTCTACTGTCAAACTTGTAATTATCATTTCATCGTGAAGACTTGATGTGGAAAAAGACACCAATGTCGGGAATTTATGCACAGAGTTCTATATCACTGACAGAAGGATGCACGGACTGAGAGCTAAAGACAATGCCTCAATTTGGTGAACTCAACATAAGTTTTGATAAATAATGCAGTTTTATGTCTAAATGAACAAATATTCATTTGTTGGTGGTGTCAACAGAGAGTTTTCTGAGATTCATCATTATAAAGCTRATAGGTAAAATTCCAGCAGAAGCCAAAGGCCTATAGATGCATTCAGTGAAACTGGATATAAAAAAGGCAGCTACTGTAGACATGAAGTTTTCTTGATTCATTTTAGGACTCAGTAGACTAAGCAAAAAAAATGAACCTAACAGTACCCAGTTCCACTTTAGTCTTCTGATTCCTGTAGTACCACAAATTCTTCAGCCTAACCTTGGACTTGGTGTGTTCTTTCCCATGTAACCCCACATGCCTCCTCAGTCACATTCCTTTAAGAAGGAAGTATATTCCACAGTATCATTTGTGAATTCATTATCTTTGATTCTTAGCCTTACTTTCTCCTTTGAGATTTCCTCCTTCAAAACAAAATGATTGTTCTGAATTTAAGATAAGCATCCCTCCACATAGTCGTCATATATTGCTGTATGCTGTATTAAGGAGATAGAATGCTCACAAATAATGCCTGAGCTCTCTAGCCAGATTTGCATCTATGGGACTCTAAGCATTGGCAGACTTGGGACTGAGCCTATTCATGAATTAAACTGACTAAGTCAGTATTATCCAAAATTGAACAAAGAGGTCTTTATAACAAGAGCTGGTCCCTTTTTGCCTTTCTCATAATAACCTCACCAACCTTCCCACTAAAATGAACCAAGGGGACCGGTCGTAAAACGGGTCATGCCCGTCACTGAAGAGATCTGATCCCTCCTCCGTCCCTGCGTCAGAGCCGGTGTCATCCACGAATGCCTCATCATCAAAATCCTCCATCTCATCTTGCTGCTCGTCAGCCAGCTCAGTGATGTCGGAATCGGCCGTGGAAAAAGTGGGGGAGGGTGTGCGGTCGGCAAGGCGCTCATTCACACAGCCGTGGAAAATGGGGGAGCTAGACACCAGGTAAGACGCCGATTGACACAGCCAGGGAGAGAGGAATAGTTGGTTAAACAAGAAGCGATAGGTGCCAACAGGACAGAGTCTACTGGGGAATCAACACAATAAAAGCAAATAGAAAAGCAAAAGGATAAAATAAGCATAAATCATCTTGATCAGGTGAAAGGGAACAAAAGGGCAGGTTGAAAAATTCTACAAAGATGGATCCTTAGAATAAGAAAAGCAAAGGAAACCCATGAGTAGACCAACCTAGGTGAATACTGTGCTAGCAAATATTTACATTCTCCAGTTCACACAGAAAGACCAGCAGCATCTTGGCCTCAAAGGAGCTACTCAACATTAAGGTGAAATAATACGAATTTAAATGTTTATTTAAATGCTAACATGTTCTTGAAACAGAAGGAAAAAAATGGATGAAATAGTACATGCCAAAACAGCAAGTGCTTTGCTTGGGTAAGACGTTTTTGGCCAATTCATCTCTTTAAAAAAGCTTGTCTACTATCGGAGTGGAGTGGAGAAGACTTCCTTCATTTCTACAAAATACTCTTACTTCAGCAACAGATTTTTACATAGTTCCTTTAAAAAACAGACTACTTTTGCAATTGAAAAACAATTCTAATTTTAAAAATAGCACAAAATATAAATTTCCTGCTTTAAAATTTCTAAACCTCTAAACGACTCAATATAGACTCACAGAGGCAATATTTGTTTTCATAAAATGTTGAATATAATGTATATGCAAAAGAGACTCAAGAGGACTACAAAGATATGCAATTAATTCACCCTTGGCAATGACAAAAGTGAGATGAACTGCTTTATGACTTCTCAGATTATGAAGATATTGCAGTCGGCTAAGACAATGATTTTAAGTTGTACAATATAACTTAATATATCTTAATCAATTTATCTTAATTAATTGCAAAACATTTTGTAAATAAGCTGAGAACCAAAGAAGACTGTCAAACACTTTCAAAAGTTTGAGAATCAAAAGAATATGCATGTTTAAAAATGCTGAAGGGAAGTATACCAAATGACACGGTGGTTATGAGAGGATAAAATGAGGCTCTTTTATTCCTTTTTTCCTTTTAACCTTCTGTAATATCAACTGAGATTTTTAAATTAAAATACAAGTATTCACTATTTAAAAAGAAACCAACAAAATCATCACATACCTTCCCACAAGTTTGAACCAGTGGAATCGATCATAGAATGGATCACTGCCAGTCATCGTAGCTTCACTGTCATCTTGGGCATTAGAGGCCATCTCACCAGCCCTATCATACATCTCACGCATCAAATCCAGCCTCTGCCTATTTAGCAAACATGAAGGACACTGAGTTAATATTAAATTTTTGTTTTGGAAGCATCTTACATGCAAGGTTTTTTTTCCCCCCTGGTACTGGAGATTGAACCCAGGGGTGCTTAACCACTAAGTATGTCCCTAGCCTTTTTAATTTTTTATATTGAGACAGAGTCTCACTAAGTTGCTTAGGACCTCGCTAAATTGCTGAGATGGGGCTGGGGTTGTAGCACAGTGGTTGAGCACTTACCTCACATGTATGAGGCACTGGGTTTGATCCTCAGCACCACGTAAAAATAAATAAATAAAGATATCGTGTCCATCTACAACTAAAAAAATATTTTTAAAAAAATTTAAAAATAAATAAATAAATTGCTGAGATTGGCCTGGAACTTGCAATATTCCTACCTCAGCCTCCCAAGTGGTTAGGACTAACAGGCATGAGCTACCATGCCTGGCAAGAGTTTGTTTTTAAACCAGGCATTGTGTTGCACATCTGTAATCTTAGTAGCTCGGGAGGCTGAGGCAGGAGGATTGCAAGTTCAAAGCCAGCATTAGCAATTTAGTGATGCCCTAAGCAACTTATTGAGATCTTGTCTCTAAATAAAATATAAAAAGAGCTGGGGATGTGGCTCAGGGGTTAAGTTCCTCTGGGTTCAATTCCTCAATTTCCAATATTAAAACCAAAAAACAAAAAAAAAAAAAAAAGGAAGAAAGAAAAGAAAAAACAAAATAAATTTTTTTAAAAAAGCTGTTCCCATAATTTAAAAAAAAATATTATTTTTTAGGTGTAGTTGGATACAATGCCTTTATTTTATTTATTTATTTTTATGTGATGCTGAGGATTGAACCCAGAGCCTCAAACATGCTAGGCAAGCACTCTACCATGAGCTACAACCTCAGCCCCTGTTCCCATAATTTAATGTTATTAAAAACAAATGAGGGCTAGGGTTGTGGCTCAGCGGTAGAGCACTTGCCTAGCATGTGAGCGCCCTGGGTTTGATCCTCAGCACCACATAAAAATAGATGAAGGTATTGTGTCCAACTACAACTAAAAAATTAAATATTTTTAAAAATGAGGGCTGGGTATATAGCTCAATTGGTAGAGTACTTGCTTTACATGCACAAGGCCCTGGGTTCAATCCCTAGCACCACAAAAAAAAAAAAAAAAAAAAAAAGAAAAAAGAAAGCCAGAAGTACTGAAACCAAAATCCTCAGTATCTAAGAAGTCTAAGTCTACAGAGAAGCCATCAAAATTCAAGAATGGCCACCTAACCTACAGAGAGTCAACCATCACAGGGGAAATGTTCCGTGGTATGTGACATCTCAAATACATTCAGTGGGAATTATCTCACCATATTAAACGTAAAGGAAGCTAGATTATAACTTTGTTTTTATTAATCATTACCATGAAGTCCAGGACAGAAAAGATACTATGGAGGGTAAATTTAAATATCAGATATCTGAGGAGTGTTATGATTCATTCACTTAGAAGGTAATGGATGGTTAGCAATATCACAGGCCAGCAACAGCATTTGGAAAGCACAGGAAAGAAAGCAACCACATCCTCAAATGAAAACATGAGGGAGTCCACTTGAGCAATTATTATTCCCTAAATAAAATAAGCAGCTTTTGAGTGTGTGCATACTTGAGTTTCTCCAAAGACCAATAATGTGTTGCTCCATTCTTCAGATCCTGAACTTCTACTGCCACCACTGTACGAGGAAAAGGTCTCTCCTCATGAGTTTTATCCACTTCAGTGGGAAGTAATTCGGGAGGCAAAGGGGAATACAGTGTGTCAGTCAGCAGAACAAACTGAAATTGTACCTGAATGGAAAGAATAAACCATGGACAAATGTAAAAACCATTACATTTCAGCAGGTAAACTTCAGAGACAAGACAATATAATTATACCCCATGGGAAAAAAGGTGAAACCTGTAGTATGTGCTATGGACTATCTGCAAAAGAAAAAGAAGAAAAAGCTGCCTGTATGTTAAACATAGGAAATAATCCTAGTTTCAAATGAGCCTATTTACAAAGTTTGTTTCCCCAGCCTTGCAAATATAAACTAAGGTTGCAGTAAGTCTACTTCGCTTGATTAAATGAAGACTTCTGTGGAACTTATACAGAGACCAAAAGGTGGACCAAGAATACATCCAGTCCTTCACTAACAAGAGCTGATGGAACACATCAAGGTATTCCAATTTTAAATTCAGAAGACTATATGACTACTACTCTGAGAAGTATTTACTATGGCAGCCAGGTGCTGTGGCAAAGACCTGTAATCCCAGTACCTTGGGAAGCTGAGGTAGCACACACATACACAATGGTATGATGAACGAAAAGCACCTACAGCACTTTATTTCTGCAGTTCTGGGGACTGAACCCAAAGCTTCAGACATGCTAGGCAAGTGCTCTACCACTGAGCTAGCCCCTATTTGTTTATTTATTTGGTACCAGGGATTGAACCCAGAGCACTTCACCACTGAACTACATCCCTGGCCCTTTTATTTTTTATTTTGAGATAGGGTCTCACTAAGTTGTTGAGGGTCTCACTAAGTCAGAGGCTGGCCTTGAACTTGCCATCTTCATGAGTAGAACCTCACCTTTGAATAGCTGGGATTATAGGCATTTATCACCACAACTGGTATATATATGATTATAGGCATTTATCACCACAATTGGTATGTAATTTATTTCTTGTTACCACCTGTATTTTCACCAATAAAAACTAATGAATGCTAGACATTGAAATAAGGGTAGGGGAGGGAGTTCCTGCCTTTAGTTAGTCTACTTAAGGAGAACAGTGGTTAATAAGTAATTATAAAATGAGTAGGGCTTCCAAGATTGAGAAGAAAATGATATCACAGTTTGCAGAAGCAGAATAGAGCCCTAGAGGCAGACAATGACTTTTCCCAAAGACAGGCCATCTATGTGCCTTCCTAATGTTTAATGTGGTCTCTGGCTATAATTTTACCAGACAAGAGACTATTAAACAGTGGGACATACATAAGGATAAATCTAAGATTTGGTGTAAAATTTTGGTAATAATTACAATAACATCTTTTACCATGTTCAGGCATGACTTTTAGTGCTTGATATGTATCCATTCTTTGATTCCCTCATAAATCCTCAAATGGCAGGTACTGCTGCCAACCCCACTTAGTAGATGAGGGAACAGAGGCAGGGGACTGTTAGGTCACACAACCTGTGGAGCTGGGACTGGACCTACACTATCTGGGTGCAGAGCACATGCACTTGTCTGCTACACAGTATTGCCTCTTATTTCAGAAGAGGAATAAATTAGTGGCAGGTGGACATACAGGACTTGTACAAATTTAAAGGTAGAAAACTAAAAAAAGTTGAGATTTTTTTCAGAAAGCCAAGAAAAACATTTTTCTATTAATGTCTCTCTAGCTCTTGTCAAAATACAGTCTCAGGTATAAAATGAACTAGAAAATATCTATTTCTATGAAATTTTATTTAGTAAAAATTTAATCAGTGTCTACTATATTCTAGATATATACACTAAACAAAGGAATGCAGAAAGAAGCTGAGCTCCCCCAAAGGTAAGGTTAGTTCGAGGTGATGTCCAAATGAACACACACAGGCTCAGCTCTGCCTCCAGACCACAGTGTTCTTGCCACCCTGCGTACCTTCTTCTTCAATTCCACACTGATGGCATTGGCCTCCTTAAGGTAGACGGCATTGCCCCAGAGTAAGTCCCTTAAGGAAGTAAACTGGTGAGACTTCCACTTCCGGAAGGCCCACTGGGCCAACTCAAACTCATGCTGCGTCCAAGGTACTGAAAGAGTAAAGGAAGCACATTTGATGGTCATCTCACAGCTGTAAGAAATTATATCCGTTTTCTACTTTATCTTGGTGATCAAGCTATTTTCCAGTTTCTATTCATTAAATTGCTTTTGCTTTTCTTTTTAATAAAGCTTACTAAATTCTGTTGATATTATAAAAGCAGAATTTTAAAAAAATCTGAAACAGCACATCAAATAAATAAAATTTTCTCTCATTTTAAAATATATTCTAATGTGATGCTATATTTTTTTAAAAAGTCCCTGATCCCTGGTATAGCAAATGATAAATTCCTGAATAGGAGGTACTGTTGCCAACCCCACTTAGTAGATGAGGGAACAGAGGCAGGGGACTGTTAGGTCACACAACCTGTGGAGCTGGGACTGGACCTATACTATCTGGGTGCAGAGCACATGCACTTGTCTACTACACAGTATTGCCTCTTATTTCAGAAGAGGAATAAATTAGTGGCAGGTGGACACACAGGACTTAAAGGTATAAATTTAACAGTAGAAAACTAAAAAAAAGTTGAGATTTTTTTTCAGAAAGCCAAGAAAAACATTTTTCTATTAATGTCCCTCCAGCTCTTGTCAAAATACAGTCTCAGGTATAAAATGGACTAGAAAATATCTATTTAGTAAAAATTTAATCAGTGTCTACTATATTCTAGGTATATATACACTAAACAAAAGAATGCAGATGAAGTTCTTTTCTAATATAGGGAAAAGGGTTATGTTTCACTTAGATATTTAAAAATAAAGACTTTATTATAAGGCAATAACTAACAATGAGAGACTGAATTCAGCCAAGAAATTCTGGAAAACTTAACTAAGCTAGCTGGTAATGGCTTTAAAGTACAGATACATTCCAAAGTCTTCAGTTAGGAATCTAGTAAATTAATTATCTTAACAATGAGTAAGCTCTGTATTTACTTGATTATATGAACTTTGTTTGTACAATAACATGAGATAATATACATAAACATCCCAAAAGATTTATGTGAAGACTGCTCAAAAACCTTGTGAAGCTATAAAACACTATCAGCCTCACCTTTACTCCAGAGATCACAGCCTGTGTTCTCAGCACTGAGTATCTTATAAATCACCTTTATATTGGTTCAGTACAAGGTCAACAAATGGTGGGTCAATTTTGAGGAACCCAGTATTCCTAACAAATAAGGGATTAATGTGATAATACAGATCCAAAAGACATAAGAGAAGGTTTCAGTCTCTATATTTCACCTTCTTCTTCCTCTTCTTCCTCTTCAGTAGTTTCTGCAGCCAGGGAACGGGTCTCAACTTGCTTCTGCAAGGCCTGCAATTTACTCTCATAGTCCTGAATGAAAAGAAAGGAGACAACATGTAGGAGAGTAAGGAAGGAAGGAAGGAACACAGAAATGCAAGGAATACTGGAGGATGTAAAGAAAGCAAAGGACAATGATTAAATGAGAGAGAGAGAGAGAGAGAGAGAGAGAGAGAGAGGGGGGGGGGGGAGGGAGGGAGGGAGGGAGGGGAAGGGAGAGAGACAGGCAGGAAACAATAATAAAAAGACCTACAGAGAAATGCTTGGGGATGGGAGGGATGGCGAGAGAATGACAAATCATATATCATAGTCTGCAATGCATAATGCAAAAAAGTAAAATTAACTGCAGCGCCTCTATTTCTATTTCCCCAAGGACTCAAGAGTTCTTTATTTGGGCTTGAGGTAGGAAAAAGGAGAGATTTTGAGGGGAAAAAATGCATGTGTCCCTTATATATTAAAATACATTCAAATAATATAGTACCATCAAGGAATTCTAGAGAAAGATAATTTTGGAAAAGATTAAATTCCCCATTCCCCATTATTATCAAAAGTTTCAGTTTCCTATTTAAAACAACTAGAATTTAGCCTTTGAAGCTTCATGTATATGAAAAATTACTATCTTTGTAGTGATAGGATAAGTGTCCCCTTCAAATGACCAAAAGCTCACTGCTGGACTGAAATAATTGACAGATTACATTGTTGTTCAGAAAAAGACACTTTAAAATATGCTCTTATATTATAAAATGGATTATTAAAACAAATCAGATTTATCCTCTGTTTCTACATCTACTCTGTGCATTTTCAATAAGAGTACTATCAGCTCAAAGCGGACAAAGAAACAGTTCTGGGCAATGAAAACAATCTCATTCGTTTTATGTGTAAGGCATAAATGCAAACAGTACATGAACTGTGTATCTGAGCTATTAAAACTTCATGATGGGGATAAATTAGGGGAAAACTGCCTAAAAATGTCCCTTGGGGTGTCAATGTAAAAAAAAATAACATTTTAAATCTGGGTGCTATTGAAAAAAAAGAACTTTAAATTTCAGTGAAAACAAACAGAATTAAGAAAGGCGATATCCTTCACTTCATGAAACATTAAATTACAGAATAAATGTGTTATCTTGAGATCTGTAACTGGCTTCCTGCTTCCTTTGGTTCCCCAGGAGTGACCCCAATCACAGGCTGTCATAAGACAGTCCTGGGCTGCTCCATCACACAGAGCTCTCCAAGKCACACATCAAGGTTCCACAACTGGAGTGCTGCAGAGAGCCTCCTTAACAAACTCCACTGCAGAAGGAGCTCCTGATGGCAACACCATGGATACAAACATTCTCCAAGGCTTCCAGGCTCGGTGGAGCACACCTGTAATCCCAGTGGCTCCAGAGCCTGAGGCAGGAGGACCATAAGTTCAAAGCCAGTCTCAGCAACTTAGCAAGGCCCTAAGCAGCTCAGTGAGACCCTGCCTCTAAATAAAACACAAAAAAGAGCTGAGGATGTGGCTCTGTGGTTACGTGCCCCTGGATTTAATACCCCGTGCCAAAAACAAACAAACAAACAACATCATTCTCTAAGGCTTGGTCATTTGTCAGGTGGGAGAGATAGAGGCAGAAGGAAAGGAAAGAAAAGGGAAGGAAGCACTCTACCACTGAGCTACACATCCCAGCCCTTTTTGGTTTTTATTTTGAGACAGGTTGCCMATGCTGACCTTGAAATTATGGTCCTCCTGACTCAGGCTCCCCAGTTGCTGGGATTACAAGTGTGTACCACGGGGCAATATTTTCAAAGTTATTTTCTAAGCTTATCATGCACCCAGATCTTTTTATTTAAATTATCATTTCTCACTAAAAGAAATTTGGGCTCCAAGAGGAAATGGTAGATTCCCAGTTTGGTGTATGGTAAGAAAGTATAAGGTGAGCCTAGAATATCTTGTGCCAGAAAAGATGGAATAGCTCAAAGACCCCTGGGGTCATTTCAATTGGACACAGACTCCTACTGGTCAGTAAGTCATAACAAGAAAAAAAGAAAACAGCACATTGAGTACAGGAAGAATCCATTAGTTTACAATAATACTGAATACTGAAAAGGAGGAGAAAATGGAAATATCTTCTTAAAATAAATAAATAAATATATATATATATATATATATATATATATATATATATATATATAAAAGCCAGCTAATAAATGCAGAAGGAACAACTGGGAAATCACCATACTGCAACCCCAGACTCAGAAACAGACTCAGGCAAGGATCATTAATGAGTGCTAAAATAATGGAGTGAAAGGTGTACAGGAAACAGAATATTGATACAATTCAAAGTCCACTCCCAGATACCTATTATTAATATGGGAAATGATACATTTACAATGAAGAGAGCTGGAAACCAAATGTGTTAAATTTCAACATTAGCAGTAACTGTCTAATGATGTGATGCCACATGAAGTACACAACATCAACTTCATAGTATTCTTAGCAAAAATGTTCAACCTAGGTCTAACCTCAGGGCAACGATCATATAAATCAGAATGTGGCCTAGATTCTTAAAAACACCAATGTAATAAAGGATTTTAAAATGCCATAACCAATTTCAACATAAACCTTGAGTAGATCTTGGATTAAAAGGTACACAAATACACACACCCCTAACATTTGTATTTTTTAAATAAGGAGATTTGAAATTAAACTATTTGCACAATAGTTTAATTAAATTTTTGGACAGGATAATGATATTAAGTGAACATCACTGATTTTAGGACATACACATGGAAGCACTTAGGGATCAATTATCATGATATCTGCAACTTTCCAGTGAGTCAGAAAAAAACCCACAAATAATAAGGTTGCATTGTCCTATTTTTTTCAGCTTCTCTGTAGGTTTGAAATATTTCAAAATAAATAATATGTTGGGGGTTGTGGTTCAGCAGTAGAGCACGCACTTAGCAAGTGCAAGGCTCTCAGCACCATATAAAAATAAAATAAAGGTATCGTGTCCAACTATAACTAAAAAATAAATATTAAAATAATAATAATAGGAGCTGGGGTTATAGCTCAGTGGTAGAGTACTTGCCTCGCACTTGAGAGGCATAAATGACCTCTGGAAATATTCTCCCTCCCTCCCTCCTTTCCTTTTTCCTGAATATTTTCAGATCCTCGGCACCACATAAAAAATAAATAATATAAAGTAAAAATATTTAATAATAATAATAATAATAATAAGAAGAAGAAGAAGAAGAAGAAGAAGAAGAAGAAGAAGAAGAAGTTGGGGAGGGGGAATTATTTTCCCTTTAAAAAGAACTACATAGGGCTGGGGTTGTGGCTCAGTGGTAGAGTGTTCGCCTAACACGTGTGAGGCACTGGGTTCGATCCTCAGCACCACATTAAAATGAAATAAAGATATTGTGTGTCCACCTACAACTAAAAAATAAATATTAAAAAAAGAACTACATACTACATGGGAGTCTTTCAGCAAAAAGAAAAAGACTGCTGGTTTACTGAAAAATCACCAGTTGGAAAAAAATGTTAATATTCTGAAGATTTCTTCAAGAATAAGTTTATAAGCTCATTAAACTACCAATCAAGACAAAATTCTTAGACTCCCTTCCCTAAAGGCTCTGGTAGTGCTTTAATGAAGCAGGAAAATTGACATAAACAGATTTGCCATTGCCCTTGCACAAAAAAACTAACTACATTTTTTTAAAAATAACTTTTTAGTTGCAGATGAACAATACCTTAATTTTATTTCTTTTTATGTGGTGCCGAGGATCAAACCCAGTGCCTCACACATATAAGGCAAGCACTCTACCGTTGAACTACAACAGCAGCCCCCAACTACATTTTGATCTGTAATTAGTAGTTCAAATATCAACAGCATTTCTTGATCTGAGCTCCTTCCCCAAAGCAGACTGCTTATGAATTTCCAACAAGGAGGTTTTGTAYGTCACCAGAAAAATTCAATCAGTATTGCATTTTCCAAGAACAAATAGGTTCAGATAGTATTATTTATCTTATGGTGAAAATTAGGATAATTGTTAGGAATGTGGCCCAGTGCAAGAGTGCTTGCCTAGTATGCACAAGGCCCTGGGTTCAACCTCTAGCCACCTGCTCCTTCCACCCACCCCAATTAAATCAGGACAATTATGGAAAGCATACTAAAAAGAAAGCAAGGAAGGAAAGGAAGGAGGGAGGGAGGGAGGGAGAATATTTTCAGAGGTCATTTATGTTTATAAAAAGTCCTACCTTGGAGCTGGGGTTGTGGCTCAGAGGTAGAGCACTCGCCTAGCATGCGTAAGGCACTGGGTTCGATCCTCAGCACCACATAAATATAAAATAAAGATATTGTGTCCACCTATAACTAAAAAATATTTTTAAAAAAGTCCTAACTAGGGCTGGGGATGTGGCTCAAGCGGTAGCGCGCTCGCCTGGCATGCGTGCGGCCAGGGTTCGATCCTCAGCACCACATACCAACAAAGATGTTGTGTCCGCCAATAACTAAAAAATAAATATTAAAAAAAAAGATTCTCTCTCTCTCCCTCTCTCTTTAAAAAAAAAAAGTCCTAACTAGTTCAAAATATTCCCTATTTTACAAAAGCACAGTACTAGCTCTTTTCTCTTCTGCAATGTTCTCTTCTATCCACCAACCCTCATTTATAAGCCTATTTTGTGCCAGGAGCTTAGCTTTTCTTTTTTCCTTTCTTCCTTCTTTGGTTTTTCTCCCTCCTTCCCTTCCTTTTTTTTTTCTTTCTCTCTTCCCCTCCTTCTTTCTTTATTTTAGTACCAGGGAATGAACCAGGGGCATTAACCACTGAGCCATATCCTCACCCCCCCCCTTTTTTAAATTTTGAGACAGGACCTCGTAAAGATGCTAAGGCTGGCTTTGAACCTGTGATCCTCCTGCCTCAGCCTCCTGAGCTGCTGAGATTACATGCATGCAATATCTCAACCAGCTGTACCAGGAACTGTTCTTTAAATTTGACATGGATTATTCTGATCTTACTTCTGTAACTCTATGAAAATTATACTATTGGTTAGT